ACAACTGTTTTTCTCTTTTATAATCTTTGCCAATCTTATGTGTGAAATGGGAACTTAGAATTGTTTTATTAGCATTTCTCTTAATTATTAGTGACTTGAAGCATTTTTTCATATGGTTGTTGATAGCTCATATATCTTCATTTGAAAATTGCCTATTCAAGGGGCAGCTAGGTGGCACAGTGGACAGAGCACTGGCCCTGAAATCAGGAGGACCTGAGTTCAAATTCAGCCAAACACTTGACACATACTAGCTGTGTGACTTTGGGCAAGTCACTTAACCCCGATTGCCTCACTAAAAAAAAAAAAAAGAAAGAAAATTGCCTATTCATATCCTTTAACACTTACCTACTGGAGAATGACTCTTATTCTTAAATATCTGTATCAATTCTTTATGTATCTTAGGTATTTGACCTTTAGCAGTGGAATTTTCTGTGAAGATTTTTTCCAAATTAATTATTTCCCTTGTGATTCTAGTTGCATCTATTTTGCTTTTGCAAAAACTTTTAATGTTATGTAATTAAAATTGTTCATTTTATCTTTAATGATCATCTCTATCCCTTGTTTAGGTAAGAATTCTTACCCTCGCAATAGTCAGTCAGTCAACTAGTATTTATTAATCACCTACTGTCTGCCAAGTACCGTGTTAAATGCTAAATTATAGCTGTGAAAGAGATCTTCCTCTTTTGTCTCCAATATTTTTTATGTGACTGTTCATATTTAGGGCATGTACCCAAATGTAGTCTATTCTGACATATGGTATAAGTTATTGATCTTAAAATTTCTGCCTAACTGCCTTCCAGTTTTCCTAGCAATTTTTATCAAATAGAGACTCTTTACTTTTTCCACCAGTTATTATCCCTGGGTTTACTCAATGCTATGCTACCATGTACAATCACTTCTAATTTTTGCTTATATAATCTGTGTCACTGATTGACTTTTGTATATTTTAACCATTACCAAACTGTTTTAATTATTTCTTTATAATATTATTTGAGAACTGGTACAGCTAACTCCCCTTTATTGCTACTTTTTAAATTGTTTCCCTTGAGATTCCTGACTTTTTGTTCCTATAGAAAAATTCTACTATTCTTTTGTCGAGAACTCTAAAATAACCCCTTTGTAGTTCAGTATGGCACTAAACCTTAAGATTAATTTATTACAAATAAAAATAGCAGGTAACATTCATAAAGTACTTTTGCATCTGGTTTTTTTTTTTTGGCTTTTTGGTGAGGCAATCGGGGTTAAGTGACTTGCCCAGGGTCACACAGCTAGTTAAGTGTTATGTGTCTGAGGCCAGATTTGAATTCAGGTCCTCCTGATTCCAAGGCCGGAGTGCTATCCACTGTGCCACCAAGCTGCCCCTATACATCTGTTATTTCTGCTTTGCAATTTAGCACAAAATTTCACACCACCCTGATTAATTGTAATTCTGTGACCTTTTTGGGTTTCTAAAGCTTATGAATGATTTCATTCTAATATTCTTTGGTGACTTTGCTTCTAATTTACCTAAACAATTAATTCTGGTATATTTCCAGATTTGAAAGTTCTACTTCATCTTTCCCAAAAGACATTCCCAGTTCTTGTGTACCTCCCCTCTGCTGTCATTGTGAATATCTATCCCCATTATTTAAAACAGGGTCTAGACCCAGGTGACGGTGGAGGTGGAGAAGGGTGTCCCTCCTCACAGACCCCTCTACGGTTTAAATCGCCTTTTCCATTCCTTAACTAAATTTTATTCTTTTTTTGGGGGGGAGGCTATTGGGGTTAAGTGACTTGACTAGGGTCATACAGCTAGTAAGTGCCTGAAGCCAGATTTGAACTCAGGTCCTCTTGACTCCGAGGCTGATGCTCTATCAACTGCATCCTTAGCTGCCTCCTAAATTTTATTCATTTTAAAGCTATTGCTTGATTTAAACAATCTTTTCTCTTTTCATAATCAAGAAAGGGTTAACAAGAGGCAGCTATTTAAATTTCAGATATATTTAAAATGCAAACTGCATACCTATTTTTTTTTCTTCACTCTGGGATTACTTTCAAATTAGCTATCTTCCTTCACTATAATAAAATAATAGGTCTATCAATCTTAAGGAAAAAAAAAAGTGATCTACGTGTTACTTAACCCCTGAAACTTTTACAATTCAATTCTTATTTTTACTTAAAATAAATTTTATAGACTGGTATCCCCAAACTCATTAAGATATTTCAGCATATGTTAAGCTTCTGCTAAGTACCTTATCAGATAGTACAAAGAGAAGAGGGTAAGTTCCTGGAATTATACAAAGTCCCAGAAATTCTCCCCTGAAATCTTAAAATGATTAAGCTCCAAACTCCTAAATGATTAATTTCTAATTTCTTTACTCTCCAAAGCTCCAAAATCAACCAAGATGTTGTTTTTTTAGCAGTTTTACAAACCAGAAAAAAGTTTTCCTTTCTTCGATTATCTGACTTTATCTTTGTAATCCCAACATAGCCAGGGCTGAAATGACAAAGTATCTAGCTGTTTTTTTTTTTTCTTTTTAATCTAATCTCCCACTGAAAGACTAAAGTGGGAGTTAGTCCTGCTTATTGGGACAGAGTTTGGCATCACTGCTTCAAGTATGAAACTATCAAACTTCATTAATCTTCCTCAGCATTCTAAACTCTTTGGCTTCAGCTTTTTAGCAGTCTTTCTGGCTGGCTGCATTTTCCCCTTATAAATCTTTCAAGGTAGCAAAATCTACAAACAACAATGAACATGACACAAAGACAAAAGACTTTTCTCCATTTTACAAAGAAACAAAAACACAGACAAAACAATAAAGCAAACACATACTTGCTAGCCTCCTTAGCTCCTACTGAAAGTCTAATCTCCAAGCTTTTAATTTGTCTCAAATTTGGGACCTGTTTGGATTTTGATATATTTAAGAATAATTTGAGAGTTCTATCTTTTAGTCACACCCTCTACTCCTGTACAGGAAATTCCAGGCCAATAAGAATTTCCTAAAGGGGTGTCAATTTAACACTTCACTCTTCCCCTGGTTTCATGCAAAAAGAAATTTTATCTTAGGGGGGGAATCCTGAGGGAGTCCTGAACTGTCAGGGTTGGGGTAAACCATCTCCAGCAGTGTGGAGGTAGATCTTTCCTTAGCTTGGAAGAATTTGAACTTGAGGGGAGCTCGACCTCTGCGGGTCGGTCTTCCACAAAAAAGTCCCTCAGTGAAAGATCAACCAGAATACTCTAGGGATTTTTTTCTGAAAGGCTGTCCTGGGTGTCAGAGTTCTGACTCAACCCAGCTTGGCTCGCCAAAAACTGTGGCAGGTGGAATCTGAAATGACTGAGGAAACAAAAGTTCAAACTTCTGAGCATACCGATTTGTTAAAGCAATGGATATTAATTATGTAACAAATTGGGACCAGGCCTTCCTCAGCTTGGCACTGGACCCTGAATACAGGGGGAGACAGATTTTTATGCATTAAAAGTAAACCATTAACAGGATATAAACTAGGAAACAAGATTAGGTAATCTGATTTCTAATTGAGGGAAAGATTAGGGGTTTTTCGAATTGGGGTATGTGTGGAAAGGGTTTTGAAAATTGAGTGCAGGGAAAGTGAACAGGTACAGTTCCCTGAAATCAGAAAAAAAGGAGTCCTACTCCTCCCAAGCGTCTGTATTCAATCAAAGGAACATGGAAACAGTAACTGATTGACCAGGACGGGGACAGTTTTCAGATAAAACATATGGATTGCATGAAATGTATAATTGTAAGAAAACTCCTTCCATCAATCTTTGGATCTGACTGGGTTTCTGGTCAGCATAACCTAGATAGTTAATTAAAGGTCTCTAAGCTACAGGTAGAGGTGGTCCAGCTTCCTAGCCACTCAGATCCAGGTTCAAACAATGTAATAAAGTTTTCTCACAAAATAGAAATTAGACTGGACCCATATTTGAACAGAAAGGGAACTGAGCTAGATCTTGGAATGAATCACAAGATGAAGCCAGTTTGGTTCACACAATTCTCACAATTCCCTCATACATAATAAAAGTTTGCTTTTATTAAACCCCTCATCTACTCTGAGCCAATAACTCTACTTTTTAGAAGATATCTCAAGGAAATAACCAAGAAGAAAAAAATGACATCCACAGAGATATTTGCAACAGCGATATTTGTAATAGCAAAAAACTGGAAACAACTCAAATGCCCAGTAAAAGTGGGAAACTATGTTATATTAATATAATGGAATCCTATATTGCTATGAAAAATCACCTGTAGCCTAGCAGGTTTAAAAAAAATACACATACACACGTATATACATACACACACACACACACACATACACACACACACACAAAGAGCATGTATATTCTGACAATAATGATATACAAACATGCAGCAACAAAGAACGAGAGAATTTACAGGGATGTAAATAAAACACATTGCTAATTCAATTTCCTCCTTATTCCCTGGCTCCATAAAATTGTTTCAGTTCTTGACTTGGAAAGAAATGAATTAGGGAGTATATTACAAGACACATCCACAAAACTCTAGCATAATAATAACAAAGTACTATAGTAAGAAAATCCAAGAAGTAGCAAAGTAAAACATGCAGGCAATGTACTTTTTCAGTTTTGAAACTTATGATATTTTCACTTTGGTTAAGAATTATCACAGATGTAGAACAGAGCTATTACGTACTATTTAATAAATTGAGGCCATCAGAGACAAATTAACCAAAATATATAGGATCAAAACCCAAAGTCATATTACTAAATAGTCACGGAAGTTGTTAATTTAAGGAATAATAACAGGGCTGGAATAGATGATTGTCCAACAGCATTGTCTAAAGCTGATTTACAATTTTGTTTAGGGGGTATGGAGGAAAAAAAGCAACTTAAACCACTGGGACTTTTGGGAAGCAGTCCTATGTTTGGGAGTCCTACCCTAGTAGGACCAAATCTATTAATATTAGAGGTTCTCAAAGCCCAGATTGTGGGAATATTTTTTTAAAAAAACATTTTTTACCTTCTTCCATTTTAGCATTAGAAATGAGCATCTGTCTTAAATGCTTGAGCAATCCAGTCCAAGCAAAGGTGGTGTATGACAACGAGTTTTCGGACATTTGAGGAATGTTACGGAGACCTAGCATCTTGAATTCAGGGTGCGGAACTAAGCTTGCCATCAAGTCTCCTAGAAAGAGAGAGAAATATCTTTAATTAATTACTCCAGATCATTGCTATTGAATTACACACACACATGTATGTAGGGACATATATATCCTAGTGCACATATGTATATGTATATATATGTGCATGTTTTATACACACATATGTGTGTGTATTTTGAACTGATCAATTTGATGCCAAAATATGTATTTTATTTTCTAAGACCAGGATCATTCAAAATGAATGACATTAAAAGACAATTGCAGGAGAAATACGTCTAATGCAAAGAACATATCTGACAAATTAATATCTAGTAAAAGTATTAATCAACACATTTGTACCCAGAGCCATGACTGGCATGAGGCCATTAGGACTTTGCCCTACTGTGTCAGCATAGGGTAGGGGTGCAGAAGGTAGGCTTCTACCTGTCTCCCACCCCACCTACAACTGTACTTGCCTTAGAGACCAAATGAGAGTTTAGAAGATGAATAACTGAGAACTTAAAGAAAAAAAATTAAAGTAAGTCAAGTCAATAACGTTTTATTAAGTACATACTATGTGCCAGGTACATTTTCTATGCACTGTGATAAATAAATTATCAAAAGAAGCACAAATGCTAACCTGCATTTCTATCATGCTAACTTTTATAAAACATTCTCTTGGGGACATTCTTAGAAGAAAGGATTTTTATTTGCTTACAGATATAACTGAAAGAAAAATAACCAAGTATCAATATGTGATAGAGATGGAGGTGGATTAGAAATACCTCCAGGATAGAATGTGCACATATATGTAAGTTTTCGTTTGCTCTGAGAAGAGGGGCAGGAATCATAGAATCATAGATTTCAAGCCCGAATGCTCAGCTAATGAGTCTGGATTTTATCCAGCAAGTAACGAGGAGCTGAAAGAACACATTAATCATGTCACTGAACATTCAAAATCCATTGATGACTTTCTATTGCTTATAAATTCTAAGCTCTCTTGTTTGACATTTAAGATCCTCTACAATCTGGCTTCAACCTAATTTTTCAGGTTTATTTCCCATTATTCCTTTTCATATACTAAGTGCCTTAGCTAAGAAGACTTCTTTCTATTTCCTAATCATACTATGTACTTTCCCATCTCCATGCCTTTGCTCACACTGTAACCCCTCTACTTGGCATATCTTTTCTCTTGCCCTCATCTTTGTTTGTCAAAATTTTATAATCCAATACCACTCCCTCCAAAAAGCCTTATTTGAGCTCTCAAACTAGAAGTAATTTCTCTCTCTCTCACCTATGCTCCTATAGCACTTGGCTTATATCTTTATCATAGCACTTCCAAATCAGAAAAGTACAAAGCAGGAAGTATCAAGTTCATCATGGGCAGTCATTTGTTATTCACTTCTGTACACCCCACAGCATCTAGCACAGTACCTTGCACATAGTGAGCATTAAGAAATGATGAACTCAATCTGACAAGCATGTATTGAAGGTTCTGATCAGGAGAATGATGCAATCTATTATACTTTATGATTAACCTGACAGTGTTATGCAGGAAGACTTGGAAGGGGAAGAGGCCAGAAGCAATAAGGCCACTGAAGTAGTGTTGGTGAAAAATAATGAGGGCCTGAACTATGATGATGGCAGCCAAAATAGAATGGATGGAATCCAGAAACAAAGAGGAAGTGAATTTGAGAGAACCTAAAGATCAGACATGGCGACAGAGACAAAATAGTCGGAGTTAAAAATGATATTGAATTCTCAACTCCATGTAGCTAGGAGAACGGAGGTGCCATCAACAGAACAGAAAAGGTCAGGAGGAAGACCTACTTTGGAGAATAAAGATGAATTTAGTTTTAGGTTGAATTTGTGGTTTGGTGCAATATAAAAAGATTAAGATGTTTAATAGAATTGAAAATGTGTAACAGGAGCTCAGGTTGGGGCTAGGCTAGACAGGTAAATTGGAAGTTATCTGAATAAATATCATAGCTGAAGCCTAAGAGTTTATGAGAAAACCCAGGGAGGGTACAGGAAGAGAAGATGGTTGAGGACAGAACCTTAAAAATTGGGTACATTTAATGTGCAGAAAAACAAAACTAAGCAAAAAAGACAAAAATCAATGTGGTATTATGGAAACCAAGGAAAGTAGGTTTTGAAGAATTAGGGGATACTCAAGAGTGTTTACTATATTGCAGAGAGGTCAAAGGAGGTGAGGATTGAAAAAAAGTCACTTAAGTAAAACATAACATGTTGGTTATTAAATTGTTATTAATAGTAATAAAGCATAAACTACTTCATGTTAACAAATGATAAAAATACAAAAATGCAAAGTAATGTATATTGCCAGTTACAATCACTTTATCAGGTGATTTTGCTTAACTTTTTTATGGGAAGATACCATAGGAAGAGACTGATGTGTTAAAACAAGATGTATCAATAAAAATGTTTTTAATAAGATAGAAGAAAAAAAGACAACTGAATGTATCAATCAAGATGGCACTTGTAATCTCCTAGAGAATGGTCTTAGTAGAATGAAGAGATATCTAAGCCAAATTGCTAAGGACTCATGAGTAAGCAAATGAAGGTATAAACTGCTTGTCACAAGAAGTTTAATAGGTAAAGCATACAGGGAAAGGTGGTTTATCTTTTATTTTATTTTTATTTTTTATAGAAAGAGCTGAAGAGGTTTGCATGTAGACAGGAAACAGCCAACAGAAAAAGAGATGATGGAGATACAAGGGTAAAACAAGGAATAACTGATAGAACAAGTCTTAAAGTAAAGAATTTATTCTTTATAAGAAGAGGAGCTATGTATTTTCAGTCAGGAAGAATTGGTGATAGTGAGAAATTCTGAGCTTTGAGTGGGGTTGAGGGAGCTCAGTTTTATGTAAACTAAGAATGTAGGTCATTTGCTGATTGTAAAGTAAGGATGGTAAGTCTGAGTAGAATTTAAAATTTGAAAAAGCTGCTGTGGAAAATGGAAAAGGGAGTTAGTAAAGAGATGAACACAAATCTTGAGTATCAGTGATGGCCCAGCTGAGGTTTAAATAGCACAAATTTATAGCAGAACAAGTCAGCAAAGTGAGGATTATTTAGAATTGAGTGCTGGCAAGGAAGGAGGTCAAATGGGCAAGCAATTTTAGGGAGCTAGTGAGGGCATGCTGCAGTTGGTGACAGACTGAGATAATGGGAAGGGGTTAAGAAATCATGTATGTCGCGCCAAGATGGTGGAGTAAGAAGTAAGTTATTCTCATGCTCCCTTATTGATCTCTGAAAGCCCAGAAAATATCACCCCAGGAAAAACCCTGGAACAGCTGAGCCAGCAGGAAGATAGGGTACAGCAGTCTTGTAACCCAGGGAGCTTGGGGGATTAATGGGAAAAGCCCCTCTCACTCTGGAGGAGAGGGAGCAGTACAGGACGGAAAGCATCCCAACAAGCCCTACCTCAGCAAACCAGGGGGAGATCCTGAGCCCCATGGTGGTGGAGCAGGCAAGCACCAACACCAGGACACTTCCCTTCCCCTCCCTCCCAAGTGCCTCAGCCCAGGCAGGGGAACTAGTAAACACCAGCTCAGAAAACCACCATGTGCACCAGTGTTCTCCAGCAGCCAAATCTCCTGGTGCTTCAACACAACTCCAGGCTGGCAGACATCCTCCAGCAGCCAAACATTTGAGTGCTTTAAAGAAGCCCAGGTGAGCAGGCATCCCCCAGGGCCAGACTCCCCACCCGTACCCCAAGAGCTCTAGTGTTGCTGAGTCCAGCCCAACACCAGGTAAAGTGCCAGACACCTACAGCCTCCAGCTGCAAGCACCTGAGTCCCCAGCACACAAAGCCTGTGACCAGGTCCCAGGCTCCCAGCACAAGAAGCTTGAGTCAGTGCTCCCTATGCTCCAGTAGGAGAGCTCAACTTTAAAAGCCAGGAAATAGGCAAACACCATGAGCAGAAAGCAGAAACAGACAATGACCACAGATTCTTATTATGGGAACAGGGAAGATCAAGGCACAAATTCAGAAGAAGACAACATTGTCAATATACCCACATCTGAAACCTTAAAGGGGAATATGAACCGGTCTCAAGCCCAAAAAGCCTTCTTGGAAGAGCTCAAGAAGGATTTTAAAAGTCAAGTAAGAGAGGTAGAAGAAAAATTGGGAAAGGAAATGAGAGGTATGCAAGAGAGAGTCAATAGCTTGGAAAAAGAAGGACATAAATTGACTATAGAAAATAAGCCCTTAAAAAATACAATTGGTCAAATGGGGGGAAAGTACACTGGAGGAATCAACTCCTTAAAAAGTAGAATTGGCCAAATGGAAAAGGAAGTACAAGAACTTACTGAAAAGAAGAACTCTTTAAAAAGTGAAATGGGCCAAATGGAAAAGGAGGTACAAAATCTAATAGAAGGAAACAATTCGTTAAAAATTAGAATTGGGCAAATGGAAGCTAATGACTCTATGAGATATCAAGAATCAGTCAAATAGAAACAAAAGAATGAAAAAATAGAAGTAAACATAAAATACCTCATTGGTAAAACAACTGACCTGGAAAATAGATCCAGGAGAGACAATTTAAAAATTATTGGTCTACTTGAAAACTATGATGAAAAAAAGAGACAGGACAGCATCTTTCGGGAAATCATCAAGGAAAATTGCCCTGAGGTCCTAGAACCAGAGGTTAAATTAATCATTGAAAGAATTCACTGATCACCTCCTGAAAGAGATCCCAAATTGAAAATGCCAAGAAATATTGTAGCCAAATTCCAAAATTACCGGGTCAAAGAGAAAATACTGCAAGTAGCCAGAAAGAAGCAATTGAAATATCATGGAACCACAGTCAGGATTACGCAGGATCTTGTAGTTTCTACATTAAAAGATCAGAGGGTGTGGAATACAACATTCCATAAGGCAAAGGAGCATGGATTACAACCAAGCATCAACTACCCAGTGAAACTGAGCATAATCTTTTAGAGGAGGAGATGGACATTCAATGAAATAGAGGACTTTTAAATGTTCCTGATGAAAAGACCAGAGCTCAACAGAAAATCTGATCTTCAAATATGAGACTCAAGAGGGGCACAAAAAGGTAAATAGGAAAGACATTTAAAAGGGGTATACATAGACAGAGGGCACGGGTATAAGTTGACTTTGATAAAAAATCTAATTAAATGGTGAGAAGGGATTGTTCTGGGAGGAGAGGAAAAGGAGAAGGCAGACAAAGGTAAATCACACCACATGAAAAGGCACAAAAACCTATTATAGTAGAAAGAAAGAAGGGAAGGAGATGAGCATTGTTTGAACCTTACTCTCATCAGATTCGGCTCAAAGAGGGAATAACATAATCAGTTAAGTATAGAAATCTAACTTACCCTATGGAAAGTAGGAGGGGAAAGGGGAAAGAAAATGGAGGAGGTGGATAGAAGGGAAGGAAGAAATAGCAAGGGTAAGAGGGAAGAAATAGCAAGGGTAAAGGAGGAGAAAAGGGAGGGGGCTGATAGAAGGGAGGGCAGACTGAGGGAGGCAGTGGTCGAAAGCAAAACTCTAGTGAGGAAGGAAAGGGAGAAAAGAGAGAGAAAAGCATAAATGGGGGGAAAATAGGATGCAGAGAAAGACACTGATAGTAATCATAACTGTAATGTGAATGGGATGAACTCTCCCATAAAACTGAACCATAATCCTACAATATGTCGTTTAAAAACCTGGAAAGATTTATATGAACTGATGCTGAGTGAAATGAGCAGAACCAGGAGAACACTGTACTTAGTAATGGCCACATTGTACAATGACTGCCTTTAATAGACAGTTTTTCTCAGCAACGCAAAGATCTTAGACAACTCCAAAAGACTCATGATAGAAAACGCTATCCACGTCCAGAGAAAGAACTTTGGAGTCTGAATGCAGGTTGAAGCACAGTATTTGCTCTCCTTTTCTTTGGTTGTTTTGTTTTGTTTTGTTTCTTCTTTCTCATGATTCCTCCCATTAGTTCTAATTCTTCTTCTTTACATCATGACTAATGTTGGGGCAGCTAGGTGATGCAGTAGATACAGCACTGGCCCTGGAGTCAGGAGGACCTGAGTTCAAATCCAACATCACACACTTGACACTTATTAGCTGTGTGACCCTAGACAAATCACTTAACCCTGACTGTCTCACCAAAAACAAAAATCCATCATGACTAATGTGAAAATATGTTTAATAAAAATGTATAAGTAGAACCTGTATCAGATTGCGCACCACTTTATAGAGCAGGGAGGAGAAGGAGGGGGAGAAAATTTAAAACTCAAAATCTTATGGAAGTGAATGTTGAAACAAATTATTTAAAAAAAGAAAGAAAGAAAATGCTATCCACATCCAGAGAAAGAACTATGGATTCTGAATGCAGATCAAGGCATACTATTTGACCTCTTTTTTTCTTTTTTTGTTTTGTTTTGTTTCTTCTTTCTCATGGTTCCTCTGATTGGTTCTAATACTTCTTTACAATATGACTAATGTGAAAATATGTTTAATATGAATGTATATATAGATCCTGTATCAGATTGCATGCTGTCTTGGGGAGAGGGGAGGGAAGGAAAGGGAGAAAATTGAAAACTCAAAATCTAATGGAAGTGAATATTGAAAACTAAAAATAAATAAATTTTTTAAATGTTTAAAAAAGAAAAAAACGGTATGAACATAAATCTTAGACTACAAAACATAACTCCATGACAGACTACTGTATAATGGGGGAACAAAAAGTACAAAGTGGCAACAGGGAGCAAAGGGATCCTCTCAGCCCCATTAATTAAAGGCAGCAAGAAAGCACACTGAAAGTTCTGAGACAGCAGTATTGTCAGGAAAAACCAGAAGATTTAGAAAAGTTTAGTTATAGTAGAAGAGAGACTCAATGAAATTCAAATAAAATATTGCCAAAGGGGATGAAACTGAAATTTATGTTTGTCCTAATTTTATGCCTTATAATAGATGAAAAAGTACATAATATTTGATACTCTCAAGAAAAATAAAAGACCTTTCATTGAAAAACAAGCATTTAAGATGATCAGCTTACCTAATGGGTTTCTTCGGTACTGACAGGAGCCTTCTGAAGAATAAGTAGGTTGGAATACACTTCCCAATTGATGGGCAATAACTTGATTTACATCTCTGAAGGAGATCTGTTTGATATTCATCAGTTTAGCACATATCTTATGTACCACATCATTTTCATGAACAAGAAGTGCATCTGAAGATCGATACAGATGAGAAAGAGTCAAAATTGAGTTGTAGTTCTGTACAATAACCTATGAGAAAAACAGATCAGAAATGATTTGCTCATTTCATTGTATATTTCCTTCCTTCCTATATCACTCCTTATATTGACTTGTCTCAATATAGAGACATAATGCTTCTTCTGGTATAATCAGTAAGGAATTGATATACAGAATCCCTTTCCCAAAGAAAAGAAACATTTTTGTTTAAAGGTTGGAAAAGGGAACTATGAGAAAAGGCTCAAGGAAATTAAATTATTCCGTTGGATAAATTTATCTTAATTAATTCTTAATTAAGAATAGATCCTTCAATAAGAGTTCACATGAAGTGTTCCCATATAGAAGATGATTTATATTTTATCTCCAGTGAAGAAATTATGAACTGTGAATTTTATAGGGATATATATCAGATTAAAAGAACTGAGTAAATATCTTAGTGATGTTTACTAAGACAAGAATGGGTTTCTGGGGAAAGCCAGAGAATCTCTGTTTTAACAGAGCTTTAAAAAATAAAGACAACCCATTTATTTGAAATAGTTTATGTATAATTCTTTCTTGATGCAGGGGAATGGACTGAGTGATCTTTGTAAAACACCTGGTTAACCTAAGGATTCCTAAACTGTGTTACACACAAATTATGCAAGGGAGCTGTTAAATGTCTGCTTAGATTAAATGTATAGGTTGGGCTCAATGATTTTTCTTTTTTTTTTTTTTTAGGCAATTGGGGTTAAGTGACTTGCCCAGGGTCACACAACTACTAAGTGTGTCAAGTGTTTGGTCTGAGGCCGGATTTGACCTCAGGTCCTCCTGACTTCAGGGCCAGTGCTCTATCCACTGCGCCACCTAGCTGCCCCCAGGCTCAATGATTTCTAAGGCTCCTTTTACCTCTAAAGTTCTAAGATTGTATAAAGTTATCAGATGATTCTATGGCATAAGATAGAATTACAGATATTTCATAGTCTTTATAAAGGTTTCACTGACTAAAATTTGAAATAGGCACAGCTAGGTTGAGTCTTGCTCATGAACACATCATGCTATACAATCATTCTAGAAGAGATGTTGTTGTTTCAGTTGTGTTCGACTCTCCATGACCCCATTTGGGGTTTTCTTGGCAAAATACTGAAGTGGTTTGCCAGTTCCTTCTCCAGCTCATTTCACAGATGAGGAAACTGAGGCAGGCAGGGTTAAGTGACTTGCCTAGGGTCACAGAGCTAGAAAGTACCTGAGGCTGGATTTGAACTTTTTTTTGAGTTTTCCTGACTTCAGAGTCAGAGCTCTATCCACTGAGCCACCTAGCTTCCCCCAAAAGAGACGAATTACTTTCTAAAGAAGACTGAGAATGAACAGACCCAGATTTTTTAACCTCTTCTTTAAAAAAATTAAATCTAAAATTTTCAATGAAAACATTTTGTAATATGTTCTTACCTCACCAGTTCCATAGGGCCATATAATCTGATTTATTATAAAAGAATTTGGATAAGCATCTCTTAAGTTCTGTGTGAGGAAGGCTCCCAAACCAGATCCTGTACCTCCTGCCATACTCATGATAGTAGAAAATCCTCTTAGAGAATCATATTTCTCTACTTCCTTCTGAATTAGATTCATGATAGATTCTTCATGCTTGGGCCCATGAACACTATAACTACATAAAGAAAAAGGAACAGACAAATCTAAGTAAATTTTAACTTAACTGGGGAATTACAATACAAAAGTTAATACAGTAACAGTACAAGACAGAACATTCCAAAGCTCTCTATATGCTATTCAGGTTGGCAATGTCTAGCCTCTTTATTAAAAAGTGTTTAAAAGATAAAACTTCTAGGGAAGGAGATTTTGTAGTTGATTAGTACTTAGTATTCTAGTAACACTGTATTAATAGATACAGCTATACAAACTCTAAAGCAACCTGTAAGTGCTATCTTTATTATTATTAAATTCTCATCTCTCCTTACTGGCTGAGGTTTCTCCCTGTCTGTGATAGTCTAGTTCAGTGACATCCTCAGCCTTTGACTTCACCACCTTCCGACCCATCTTGTTTTTTACCCTAGAACCCCTACCTTACCCTATCGAGAAAATCCCTAGCTCAAGTCTTTTCCACTGAAATGTAGATTTTATTTCAGATTTTTGTATACCCCAAAATGCCACAAGAATCCACATGTAGCTAAGAAACAATATGGTCAAGAGTCAAAGCAATGCTACTTGCTGGCTTTGATACCTGGTTCAAACCACAACCTCACTGGGCTTCAGGATCCTTCAGTTTTTCTCTAACAGGAAGATATTAGACCAGATAATCTCTCTAATGATTTTGAAAATCATTAAAGACCTATTACTTTACAATTCTCTACAGTGTTTAAATGAGAAAACAAACAAACAAACAAAAAAGGGTTAGAGATACAGGCTATAAAGGGGTTTTTTAGCTTCATTTAAGTTATTAGAAGCAAAAACTATTACAAAAAATTTCCATAGGCCTATATATTCCAAAGGGCTCAGGAACAAAATAAGAAGCACTTTACATGCTATTTTGCACACATCAAAAATCTCACTTGAATACCATGGCTACTTTGAAAAGTATAATCCTCATTTTTACTAGTATGGAAACTGAGACTCAGAAGTAATCTGCCCAAGAGCATGTAAACTTTGATAAACTGTGTGTTATTCTGTTCTAGAATGGTCTGGAATGTCTGTTGATTTGAGAGACAGAAAGAGTCAGAGAGAGAGAAAGAGATGACAGAAGGGGAAATGGATGCAGGTGACCTAAGCCCTGTAGCTGGTAGAAAAGAGTTGGGAACCAAAAAAAAAAAAAAGTTTCAGGAGGCTCTGAACAAGCAGGAAGCACCAAATCCATTGTTCCCAACCATGTTTCCTCTATACCTGACAGTCCCTTTCTATCTCCCCAGACCTATTTCTCTCTCTTACCCAAAGTCTACACATAAACTATCCCTATTCCCTAGCCTGCCACCAGAAGCTTGTAGCTGAGGAAACTACCAGTCTCTCATACTACCCGATATCCTTAACTGAGACACAAACACAAAAGTAGGATTGTCACCATCTACTGTCTAACATCAAGCTTTGATTTAAGTCATTTAATGTTTGTTGAATGATTGAATCCACAATTTCAAGTTTATGGTTTCTTTAGATTCTTCAACTATATACCAGTAACTTAAGAGAAATTTGAGTAAATCACTCTTACCCATATGCCCAATTATTTCCAGAACCTTGTTTTTGACAGAAATGTGAGTGTTGACCATACTTCCATCTGCCAGAACGGGCAGCCTTTAATAGTGTTTGACTGATCACTTTGGGCTCCATGTCAATAAGCAATGCTCGGGCAACTGGAACTAGAATGTAAAGAGGAAAACAAAATGTGGAAAAAGTTATCCTGACAAAGGATCATAAATTGAGAGTTGGGAGGGCCCTTACATGCTAATTGAGAGTATAAATTTACTTGACCAGAAAGAAAAGAGAGTATCTATTACTCTGGTATGAAATCCAGGCAAGCAGCAAGGATACCAACATTATTCCTTTTGTTTAGCATTCCTACTGCTGATTTTTAGTATTTTTAATAATACATATGTTGATACTTGCTTTTCTGCTTAATAATCTCTTTGAAAGTACGTTGGACTGTTCCATTCTTTGTATTTGCACACAAATACAGGCCCTCTCCTCCAAAGAAAGTAAGTAAGCAGTAGGTTTCCTGGTTTAAACAAATGTATATAAGTAATTTAATGCAATTAGTTTACAAGTCCAGGTGTCACTGCCAATCAAACACAAGAGTGAAAATTTATAGAACCCACTCTGGACCTCAGTTAGGAAACAGTAACTCAACTACTATTACATATTCAGGATAAGTATCTGAGAAGTGGATAATCATCCCCTACCTTTCTACATTAGGAAGGACTACACCATTTCAAGACAGTATCAATATAGGTCCATAGCTCTATCATATCAAAACACAGCAACATTCATAACGAAAAGTACATTTAATAGTTTGACTTTAAAATGGAATTTCCCAATTTTAAATTAATTTTTCTTTGCAACATTTATTGAGTATCCATTGTATACAAAGCAATGGGTGTTTAAAGGATACACAAAGATTTTTGGACATTTCCTAGGGTGCTTCCTGCTAAAACAGGCAATACTTTTATTTTCCATAACTGGTATTCTAGGGTCAACATCTAGTAACAGGAAAAAAAAAAAGAAACAGAATGAGTTGTTCTCAATGTTTATCACCAGCTTAATTACATACCTCCACTTCTTTCCTCATTAAAGAAATGTTCTTTGCAAGATGCCTGATATACCTCATTCTCCCTCTTACAGCAGAATCCCTGGGAATTATGTAAGTCTCTACATATGGTATCAAATACTTCATAACCAATCTGATTGCCACACTGACCAAGTTGAACTGTGACTACTGACATGGCGACCAAGCCTTTTCCTACAAAGAAAGTGAATAAAGCAGAATAGGAAACAATCAGGTCTTTTAAAATAACTACAGATTATCATCAAGGGCAAATAAAAACACATGCATACATCACAAAGTAATCACATGTTAAACAACATTATATAACAGTAATAACATTCAGGCTCAGCTGAAGAGAAAAACAACTTCAAAGTTCTTAGATATCTTTGAGAGGGTACTAAAAACAGCATCAAAAATAAAATTCTGTACAAAACACTTTCCATGCAAATAAAGTCAGATCTAAATAACTGGAAAAACATCAGTTGCTCATGAGTAGGCATAAAATAAAAATGACAATTCTACCTAAACTAATTTACTTATTCAGTGCCATACCAATCAAACTACCAAAAATTATTTTATAGAGCTAGAAAAATAATAACAAGATTCATTTGGAATAACAAAAGGTCCAGAATATCAAGGGAACTAATGAAAAGAAATGCACGGGAAGGTGGCCTAGCTGTTCCAGATCTTAAATTGTATTATAAAGCAGCAATCATCCAAACTACTTGGTACTGGCTAAGAAACAGAGTGGTGGATCAGTGGAATAGGTTAAGTATGCAAGAAACAGCAGTTAATAACTATAGTAATTTAGTACTTGATAAATCCAAAGACTCCAGCTTCTGGGATAAGAACTCACTATTTGACAAAAACTGCTGGGAAAAGGAAGAGTATGGCAGAAACTAGGCATAGACCAAAAGCTCACACCACATACCAAAATAAAGTAAAAATGGGTTCATGATTTAGATATAAAGGCTGATACTATAACCAAACTGGGAGAGCAAGGAACAGTTCACGTATCAGATTTATGGAAAACAGAAGAATTCATGACCAAACAGGAGATAGAGAACATTACGAAATGCAAAATGGATAATTTTGATTACATTAAATTGAAAAGTTTTTGCATAAAGTCAATGCAACCAAGATTAGAAGGAGAGTGGAAAACTGGGAAAGAATTTTTATAACCAGTGTCTCTGATAAGGGCCTCTTTTCTAAAATATATAGAGAATTAAGTCAAATTTATAAGAATACAAGTCATTTCCCAATTGATAAGTGGTCAAAAGATATGAACAGGCAGTTCTCAGATGAAGAAATTAAAGCCTTCTATAGTCATGTGAAAAAATGCTCTAAATCACTATTGATTAGAGAAATACAAATCAAAACAACTCTGAGGTACCACATCACACCTATCATATTGGCTAACATGACAAAACAGGAAAATGATAAATGTTGGAGAAGATGTGGGAAAATTGGAACACTAATGCATTGCTGCTGGTGGAGTTGTGAAATGATCCAACTATCCCGGAGAGCAATTTGGAACTATGCCCAAAGGGCTATAAAAATGTGCACACCCTTTGACCCAGCAATAGCACTTCTAGGGCTGTATCCCAAAGAGATCATAAAAATGGGAAAAGGACCCACATGTACAAAAATATTTACAGCAGCTCTTTTTGTGGTGGCAAAGAATTGGAAATTGAGGGAATGCCTATCAATTGGGGTATGATTGAACAAGTTGTGGTATATGAATGTAACAGAATACTATTATGTTATAAGAAATGATGAGTAGGTGGACTTCAGAAAAACCTGGAAAGACTTGTATGGACTGATGCTGAGTGAAGTGAGCAGAACCAGGAGAAAGTTGTACATAGTAACAGCCACGACGTGCAATGACTAATGTTGATAGACTTAGCCTTTCTCAGCAATGCAAGGATCTAAGACATACCCAGAGGTCTCATGATGGAAAATGCTATCCATGTCCAAAGAAAAAACTATGGAGTTTGAATGCAGATCAAAGCATACTATTTGCTACTTTTTCTTCTGTTTTCTCTTTCTTGTGGTTCCTCCTATTGGTTCTAATTCTTCCTTACAATAACACTAATGTGAAAATATGTTTAATAGGAATGTATATGTATAGCCTATATCAGATTGTGCACTGTCTTGGGGAGGTAGGGAGAGAAAAATTTAAAATTCAAAAGCTTATGGAAGTAATTGATAAATAAAAATAAATCAATAAAAAATGAATTTCTATACCTAATAATTTCTTCTGTTTAAAAAAAGTTATCTTCTCTTCATGAGATGAGATGGTACTGTATTACAAATGTGCTTTCTTTGCCATAGGGAACTCCCGAGAAGGAAATTTCCTATAGCAATACAAATGACACCTGTTCTTCAACTTAAGAGTCTTTCAGAGTGTTACCTGGGGCAGTGAAAGGTTCAGTGACTTGCTCAGGTTCACAAATAGGACTTAAACTGAAGTCTTCCTGATGCCAGAGCCGGATCTCTAACCATGACACCATGCTGTTTCTCATCTTCCTTCCATAACTGAGATAAATACACTGGTAGTTAATATCTGTAATGACGGAAGAGGAGTACGAGAATTACTGGGAAATGAGTGCAAGCAGAGTACAGGTAGAAGGAAAGAAGTTCGTTGGTGAAAGTGGTAGAAGAATCAGGGTTGGCCCTCAACTTTTTGGTATGATCCTTAACTCTAAGGCCTCATGACAGGTGGTATTACTGTATCTTTGGTAGTATGGAAGCCTATCTCACAGCAAGAGAAGGAAGTGGTATGTTATGGTCTGGGGGTTGAGGCCTTCAGCCAACCACAAGCAGGCCCACTTAATTATTGGGCAGTAACTATTGCTGTTGTTTTTGTGGCAGTTCCCTGTGTACTATGGATAGCAAACTTGAGTGTGTGTGTGTGTGTGTGTGTGTGTGTGTGTATGAGAGAGGGAGATTGAGGTTTTTTAAAATTGCTTTTCCAATTAAGCATTTTATTTTCTCCCTTTCCTATCTCCTCCCTACAAAAAGAAAAACAAAACCCTTGTAAGAAATTTCAGTGATATTTGATGCAGATATTTTTCCTACTCTACTGCTTCTCTTCTGATTCTGTCTTCATTGATTTTATTTGTGCCACTGTTTTTGTTTTTTGCCAGTTTGATAAATGTGAACTGGTAACTCAAAGTTCTTTTAATTTGCATCTGTCTGATTATTAATGAGATTGAACAATTTTCAAGTGATTTTTTTTTTGCAGGTGACATGATAGCGTATCTGGAAAATACAACTGTTTCACCCAGAAAATTTATGAAGACATCAAACTAGTTTAGCAAAGTTGCAAGGTATCTACATCAAAGATCAAGAAAACATCACAAAAAGAAATTTTATTTACAGTAACAACAAAAATTGTCAAACATTTGACAATCAAGCTACCTAGAAATACACACAATCTATAAGAGGCCAGCTACATTTCAATCATTCTAGTTTTATAGGAAGATGTAAATAATTAAACATCAGTGATAATCATTACAGTTTAGAAGGGGCAGTTTAGATGATTGCTTGGATTAGGAACTGATGTCTAATGGTTGCCCTTGCTTTTTTGAAGTACTGAAGAAAATCAAGAGATCAGATGTGTCTTCATCAGTATGAGTACTATGGATGAGACTGAAACCTCTTCACACCTTAGAATGTAACTTTATTGTTTTGTTTCTGAGACCCAACCAGTCAGACCACTACTTTTCAGTCTCCTTCAATGGCTCTTCTTCCATGCCATGCCCACTTAAATGGGGGTCCCCAAGACTCTGTTCTCTTTCTCTCTATACTCTCTTATTTGGTGATCTTATCAGCTTGCAATGGTTCCAGATTCCAAGCAGATGATTCCCATATCTATATATCTTGCCCTAGTCTCTGTCTTGAACTCCAGTCCCATATCACCAATTGCTTACTGGACATATCATACTCAATGTCCCACAGGTATTGCAAACTCAACATGTTCAAAACAGATATCACCAATTGCTTATTGGACATATCATACTCAATGTCCCACAGGTATTGCAAACTCAACATGTTCAAAACAGAACTCATTATCTTTCCCTATAAACCCACACTTCTTTCAAACTTTCCTATTACTATCAAGGGCACCCTTCCTGCCGCTTAGTATTACAAGCTTGGTGTCATCCTTGACTCCTCACTCTAGCCTACTACACATCAAACTAGTTGCCAAATTTTGACATTTCCTTCCTCATAAAAGCTCTCAGAATACAGTCTTTTAAGCATGCTGATATATATAGAAAGTAAAAAACAAAAAGTGAGTATCAGTAAGAATTGATGCACCAAAAAAATTTTTGACAAGCTTTCCTTCCTTTATCTGGAACATCAGATTCTCTGTTAACTTTTCCTCAAAGCAATGATTTTGTTTTTGCCAGCAGCAAAATACCATAAAGTTAGAGTGAGAATATATGGGGACTTCACCATCTTTCCAAGCTTAGGAGCCCAGCACCTACATTAACCCTTATAAGAAAAGTTTAGTCAGTCAACTAGCATTTACCAAATGCCTGCTTTGAGTCAGGCACTGTGCAAAGGTGGGGATACAAAAAAGGACCAAAGCAAGCAAACAAACAGAAACCCAGAGTCTGTTCTCAAGGCGCTGGGGGGTGGGGGGCTGGGGTGCTCTGATGGGGGAGACAACATGCAAATAACTATGTACAAACTCTCTCTCTCTTTCTATGTGTATATATATACATATATACACACAAAAAATATATATATGTAAAATTGGGGTAGTCTCAGAGGAAAGGAAGGCACTGACAAAAGCATGGGAAAAGAGAATAACTGTGTCAGTCGGTCAGTTTGCATTTAAGTGCTTACCGTGTACTAGGCACAACACTGAAATCATCTAAATCATTTTGACCTAAAGAAGCAGGGTCTTGCTTTTCTCTGTATCCCCAGCGCGTAGCACAGTGCCTTAATAAATGCTCCTTGATTTGACCAGAAAAAAAAACAAAAACAAAAACAAGACGGCGGGCACATTACACGACAACAGCCTCTAGGGCTCTCCATGGGGATGCTGCTGGCAATGGGGATGCCAGGTTTATTAATGTATCAGTCAAAGGATGCAGATGGGAATCACGCAAGGATGGGCAGGAATGAATGAGTGGGAATCTGCATACCAGGAGGAAGAAAATCCCATCGACGAGATCACGGGATTTGGAGTCCGGAATCTTCCAGTCGCGGCTCTTCCTGCCCTTCCGAGGTCCCTTCCAGCTCCCAGTCCTACTATCCCAGGTTACGTGAATACAGTCCTGAAAAACAACAGCAACCAGGTTTCTTTGCACTCGTCTCCAAGGGGAAGGGTCGCAGGGGCTTGTTTCACTGCCGAGGAGTTCAAAACCAGAGAAAGGCAAAAGCCGTGAGGCCCGGAGGGGAGGGCGGGGACCTGGGAGGCCCCTGGACCTCCCAGCGAGGCCACCGCGGCCAAGGCCCCGGGGTCTGGCGGATGAGAAAGAAAGGCTCTCTCATCTCGGGCCTGGCTGCCCTGGCCTAGGCCCATAACTCACCGACAACAGCTCGTAGGCGGGCTAAGCCATAGGCCACTACCCCCAGAATAACGGCTCTCAAGTCACGCATGCTCACTTTTACCAATTAATCCCTCCCGAAATATTACTCCTGCGCATATTCGCTGTACGGAATCAAGGTTTTAGAAGAATGAGTGCGCATGTTCCGTTCTGCGAACCCTTTTCTTGATAGTTCTCCCACCCCTTCCTGAGCTGGCCCAAAGTTATGCGCAAGTTCTGATTTCAATTCATCAATTTCAGAAACGTTACGCATGCCCGCCGTTTTATCAAACGCTTTAGTGGCAAGATGCACACTTCAGTTTATACCTTCGGCTTCAGGGGACGTTATGCGCATGTCTAAACCTCTACTTCGGTTCCCTGGGCAAGAGCTAAATTTGCCCATTGCCTATACTTCGGCTTCATGGAAAGTACTGCGCATGTGCAATGGCCGAAGTTGCTGTGTGAGCTTGGTGCCTGAGCGCAGTCGCACTGAGACCAGGCGGCTGGTGATGGCGGCGGCGGCAGCGGTGGCTGCGGCGGGTCCGGGCCCATGAGGCGGCGGCGGCGGCGGGACGGATTTTACCCAGCGCCAGACTTCAGAGACGGGGAAGCTGAGGCCATGGCAGGAGTTTTTGACATCGACCTGGATCAGCCAGAGGACGCAGGCTCTGAGGATGAGCTGGAGGAAGGGGTGAGGCCCGGGGTCGGGGGGCTGAGCCGGGCGGAGGTGACAAGGCCGGGGCGTAGGCTCGGGCTTAGGGAGCCGGGCCAGTTCCAGGGCCCTGGCCTGCGGCGAGAGCCAGAAGCTGGGGTGAGGGCGAGGGCGAGCGGAGCGGGAGGGCGGCCGGGTGGCTGAGCAGTGGGCGCAGCTGCGGAGTCGGGCGGCGCGGCAGGACCAATCCCGAGGTGGCGGCGGCTGCTGACGGGCGCAGGTGCACGGAGCTCTCGGCCACCCCCTCCCCCCTCCCGACCCCGAGTCTTTAGCGGAGGGGGCCGAAGGGTGGCGCGAGATTCAGGGTGACCCTGGAGCTGCGGGTTGGGAGCAGCCGCAGAGAAACGGGCAGGGGGTGCTTCTTGTGGAAAGCTCAAGCTGCTCCCCAGCCTGGGGTCCCCGCTCCTTGCGCTCTCCCAGGCGACTTGGCGCCTGCCGAGCGCTCGCTCAGCTGTTGGGATGACAGCTGAAAAGTTCTGCGGGCTGTGCTTTGCAGCAGCAGCCGCCCTGGGAGGGTGACCTGCATCTTGCAGAGTTTGGGGGTGAGGGTTAAGGTATGATTGTTTAAAAGCTGTTTACAATGTGAACTGTGATTCCCCTCTTCCCCATCCTTTCCTTCCCGCCCGCCTCCCCCAAGAAGAGAGGTTTGTGCAGTTTTCTGATGAGATTTGGGAGTGGAGAAAACAATGCCGACAGCTGTGATTTGGCTTTCTCAAAATAAGTTGCTTTATCTGGGATTTATTAAGTGATGGTTCCAGGGCCACCTTGCTATATGGTAGGAATACTTTCTAGCTTACTTTAAATAGATAGATTAAAAATACTTTTTATCTTTTATGGTTCTTTTTGCAATATTTCTTTTTCCAGGTCAGATTGGACTTAAGGGTTATTTATTAATTTTTAAGGTACTTTTTAGAGTTGTCACATCTAAAATCATTTATTTCTGCTATTTTATATATTTTAGTACTTAAAAGATCTGTGACTTCACCTTTGTGAGTAACAACACCGCTCCCCCTGCCGTGGTAATCCCTTCACAGGCTTCATATCTTAATACATACACTTTTTTCCCCTCCTGGCCTGTGATTTCACCATCTGTGTAGGGAACACCTGAGAGGAAACTGAATAGGTTGCATTCCCTTCAGGTCTTACTATGTGGTGTTTTTGTTTGTTTTTGTTCTTATCTATAATCTCATCAACCTGAGGGGGATGTCATGTGAGGCAAATGCCTACTGACACCGCAGATATGAAATGTATAGTTTGAGTTTCTTGGGACTCAGAGGTTAATCTAGTATGTGTCAGAAACAGGAGTGGAACCCAGAGCTTGGGAAGATTCCTAGGCCAATTCTAGCATATGGTTTTGTAAGTTGATATGGCCAAAATAATTCATTATGGTCAGCATTTTGGTGATGAATTTTTCCAAGCTTAGACTGTTCCCATAAGAACATTTGTTAAAAATAGTAATTAATAGTTTATGTGTTACATATGTGTGTGTGTTTGAATATATATATATATTATATATATATACACACACATACATACACATACACACACATAGACACATACACACATTACTTTCAGGTTTGGTGAACACTTTACATATATTACCTCATTTTTTACTGGTCCTGTACTCAGTCCTTTTCAGCTCGGTAAGACTTGCCACTTCTAGAACCTAGTATCACCACCACATCCTGATTAGGCATCATCATGGGTCTTTATATTAATGAACTGGATATTGAAAGTTTTGTTTTGTTTCCCATTTTCCTTTTACATTTAAAAAAGAAAATTCAAATAGAATAATAATCTGGGAACTGAGTAATTTAGCTACACTTTGCTTGTGTTATTAGGATGTTATTTAACTGCCTAATGCTTTCCTCACTCCCTCAAACAATAGTAACATCTGCATGTTACCAAACTGACTAATATCAGGATTAAAAGATGCCATATATATACATATACACATATATCATAGATAATGTTTACACACACATACATATGTATATATATAAAAGACACATAAAAGATTCATATGAATGTACATACCATCTGTATTTATAGGCAGATGTTTTCTGTATGAAGAACTTTGAGTACCCTAAAGAAGGGAAGTTAAAACAGGAGCGAATAATGCTTTTCTTATCTTTACCCTCTAAATCTACCACTTCTCCCAACTTCATTTCTCTTGATAGCACCATGCTCCTAGTTTTGTAACTTGAAAAGTAGTCTTTGATTCTTTCCTCCCCCAAATCCAATTAGTTTACCTTCATAACATCTCTCCCTCCCATCAGTTCCCTTCTCTTTGCTCACAGACTGTACCCTGGATCAATCCTGAATCATTCCTTTCTTGGATTTTTATAATGGTCTCTTAATTGGTCAGTGCTTTTAATTTCCACCCTCTGCAGTCTGTCTTCCACTGAGTTGTTAAAATACTCTTCTTGAGGCACAGATCTGATCATGTTAATTCCTCTGCCTAAAAAGCTAGTGTTTCCCTGTTGCCTCTAGAAGAGAACACAGCCCTTCGCCCAGAGCTTTTAAAGCCCTTTAGCTCCAAATTGCCTTTTCATACTTATTTCAGCAACTGCTTCCCTTCAGACTGTTCCCTGAGCTCTCCTGCTTCTGTGAATTTGCAAAAGTCTGCCTTGGTGCTAGGAAGGCCCTTCACTCCTTAATAGTTCAGCTCTGATGAAGTTCCTCTCCCTACTTTCTCCTACCCCCCAGCTATTCTTTATCCTTCCTTGACTTTATAGGCTTCTTGAGGGTAGAGACTGTTTCATTTTAATTTGTACCCTAGCCTGTTTTACTCATAGGCACTAAATAAATGTAATGGATTAAACATAGGAACTGGGCCTATGATTTCCTTGGTATAGGTGAGGAAACACTCTCCTAATAATGCAGGTCAGTACCTTCTCTGCCAATTAAGTCTTAGCAGACGTGCCCAGAGCATTGTTGATTTGCCCAGAGTCACATAGCCAGTATAGTCAGAAGCAGAACTTGAACTTGGGTCTCGTTGATTTCAAGGCCAGCTCTGTATTTGTAACATAATATAGCCTCTCTGAAATAAATGAAATTTCTTCTTGTGAAAAATAAATGTCTATTGAATTGTCAAGTTGAATTAAACCTGAGAGGTATTTTAGAAAAGTAAGTAGTCTGGTAGGGAGGGTAGCTTGTTGCAAGATTTTTCAACTCTTAATTCTGTGTTCACGTTAGCCTAGTGCTTGGATTTTAATATTATTGAAATTATATGGCATATTAAATACTATTTGAAACAAAAAAGGGACTTTGACTTTGCATTCTCAGTGCTTATGTATTCTTTGATATGACATACTTTTATTAGTTGAATCAACAATTTTAGAATTGTAAGTTCATCCTCTTTTTTAAATGCTAGACTTTGACACTGGGGATAGTTTGGTGGTGCAGTAGACAGAGTACCAGCCTTGAAGTCACATCAGTTCTGACCTCAGATACTCACGAGCTGTGTCACCCTGGGCCAGTCACTTAACCCTGTTTACCTTCGTTCCTCAATTGTAAAATGAGCAGGAGAAGGAAATGGTAAACCATTCCAGTAGCTTCGCCAAGAAAACCTCAAATGGGGTCATGAAGAGTCGGTTACAACTGAAAAACGTATCTGAAGAGTCAGATATAACTGAACAGCAGACTTTTACACTTGGAAAGATTTGAAAAAGTTCAAATGCTAGGAAATTATTCTTTAATATCTATGAAATAGGCTTTTTAAAAATTTTATTGTTTAAACCAATATATTGCTCTTGTTTTGGAGAAATGCTCAATCAGAAAACTTACTTTGGAATTGTTTGTTGGTATTGTTGAACTATGTTGTGAACTACATCACTTATTGCCAGTTAGCCAGCAGTTAGTTTGCCCTCAGCATGATGTAGTGGAAAGAACATTAGATCTAAATCAAGAGATTTCGGTTTCAAGTGTACATGCTCTGCCACTTCAGCCATCTGACTTTAGGCAACTCACTTTACCTTTCTGGTCCTTGATTTCCTCATCTAAAAACTGAGGGAGTTGGACTCTGGGATCTCTAAGGAACATTTTCCATTCTACATTTTACTGAAGTGTGATTTATTGGCAAATGTAGTTATTTTGGCAGTGCTGTATATTTTGAGATGTCAGATAACCAGTAGGGTTATGGGATGCCAATATAACCCCATTTAGAATGGGGCAAGCCTTTCTGAGTGTGTGGGCACAAAGACTTCAACAAGTACTTGTTAATTAGTTTTTCAATACCTAGAAGATTAAATGAATCTTTCAAAGAGGAACAAATAAAATAGACTATACATTCATAAATAATAATAGCTAACATGTACTTTGAAATTTAAGATATAAAGGGCTTTATATATGTTATCTCATTGGATCCTCACAACAACTCTATGAGATAGGTGTTCTCCTCATTTTACACATAAGGAAACTGAAGCTGAGAGCTTAAATGACTTTGTCTTGGGTCACACAGTGTCTTAAGTCTGGATTCAAATTTGGGTCTTGCTGAACTCAAGTCCAGCACTACCCCCTATGCTATCTTGCTGCCTAAAATTAAATAAAATTCAGTACCTATAAAAAGGGAACCTGGACTTTTAATAAATGAGAGGCCCAGTGTTGTGGCAGATAAAAAGCCTTAGTCAGGATCACCTGAGTTCCAGTCCTTCCTCAGACAAGACCCTGGTCACTTTAGCTTTCAGTGCTTCAGAATAGTAATTCTGCATTGGCCAAAGGAATTTCTTCTTTGGGAATCACCCTACACAGATGATGAACACATGGTTCCAGACAAAAAAGAAGTCCAATGGACTTTTTGGTCAGTAACTGTAATGTGGGACAGTAAGTTGAAACTAAGGGAAAGTTCTCTGTCAGAAGATTCTAAGTTTCTGAAAGTATTGGACTTTTCTGTTTACTATAGGAAGATAAAACTAGAAAAGACACTAGAAATCAATATGGGTTACAGTTAATATGGGTACATACTGATTTGCAGTTTGTAATATGTTCAAAGTACTGGCTTTGGACTGTTGTGTAAGATTCTTTTTGGATAAAAAATTGAAAATTTCTTTCTCTGAAACTTGAGAGTTCCACAAGTAATCTAGTTAATCTAGTTTTAAGATCACTAATTAATTTCCTGAACCTTTGATTTGAAAATGTAAGAGATTTCTTCAAAGGAGATTTAATTTTTTTAATTACTACTGTGATCAAGGAATTTCATGTTTGATGCCTTTCGGTGCACTTTGAAAAGTGGTTGGTGCTCAATAATTGTTTGGTAATGGGGTTATTATGTTGGAAATTGTTTTCTCATTAATTTATTTTCTTTTACTACAAATTTGTAATATCCTGGTTTATAAATGTGGACTGAACTTTAAAATTATACAACTACATTTGTTTAAAAACACTTTCTCAGGTTTCAGATTAAGTTAAACTGACTTTCTTCCTCATTGTCTGGGTAATTCTGACTACATTATTAAATGTAGTTCCATTTAATAAGGGAACTACAATAAACATCTGAGTGGAAAAAATGATTTAGTGGGTGTTCTTTTTTATGACAATTTTTGCCATTCCAGAATTGTTTAACTTTTTAATGATTATGTTCAATTTCATCAGTCCTTGTAGAGCGTGTATATGTCTGTGTTTATTTTTATACATGACAACTTTTGCAAACAGAAGTCATTCAGCTAAGCCAGCTTGAAACAGTGTATTTTGTATGGTGCTTGGGAGATAAATTTAGGTTTTGTCAGACAGGAAAAGGGAATTCCAACAATACAGCTTTTTTTGTAAAACACAGGGAAAAGTAAGAGATAGTAAGTATAATGATGAGGATCACAGCAATAACACATTTTCATAGTACTTCAGAGTTTACAGGTGCTCTCCTTACAACACCCATGTGAGATTTATAATACAAGTATTATTGTTTCTATTAGTATTGCAGCCAGGATTTAAAATTAGGTCTCCTAATTTAAGGTGCATAGATTGTGCCACTTCCTGATAGCATGCTTTTTTTTTTAAATGGGAAAGAAGAAAGAAAAACCTTACAACACGGAAGTATGGATAAATAAGTTCATGTGAAAGAAAATTGCCTATGTAGGCTATAATGCTGATTTAGAAAGTCTTCCTCTGATTTTGAAGCTTCCAGTGTGCTGGGTTACTGATGGGTAGTAGGAATGGATGACTTGTTTTAAATGTTTCTGTCTCTATATAAAGGTAGGAAGCTTTAAGCCCATATGCAGCTGCAGGTGGTAATACAGACCCATCTAGCTCAGGAAATGAAACACAGCCATAGGGCATATCTTGAGTGGAGAGTTGGCTTCAAAGCTATGGTTCTTTGTTAACTACTTTGTGGTCTTCAATTTAGAACTGAATAAAAGTAACATCAGAGAAGAGCAGAATTATGTAATACCAGCTGCATTACTTCTGAAAGATGGTCAGAGTCTTTTGTCTTAAAAGCAACTACGTCACAATAGGTGATTTACTCATAGTTGTGGAGATTAAAAAGTCTTCAAACCAAGGAAGAAAAAATGTGTAAGTAGAAAGTGTGAGTTTCTTATATTGCCCCCACTGATATGCCTTTGCTTTACTCAGAAGAGGCGACCCTGAGGAAGGCCATAATTCTGGCCTGTTCACACTAGTTTCTTGGCCAAAGTAAGTAGTTGTATAGCATTTGTTTTCCTGGTATTTGATCTTTCAGAAAGATCTGTGACTATTTTTTTTGCCTAAATTGGCTGTTCTGCTTTGAAAGCAAGATAAGTATGGTCAATTGACTTGTAATACTCCTGATACTCCTGATTGTTTAAGAACTATCATTGATTATAGTTAGTATTATACCCTTCAAACATGATTTCAGGTTTATAATCAAGTGGAGTATATTAAAAATCTATCAAATTCCTAACTGTCTTTAGTCAATTTTGCCTTTCCTGATAGCACTAATTCTGCTAACACCTATCACCAAGTAATTTTGTAACCCATTATTATCAGGTTTGAAATGGAATATTTAGCCCCAGAACCTTCAGCCATTTGGTCTTCTTGCAACAATTTTTAAATTTTGCCTTAACCAGAATAAAAAACAGTGCTAATTACCATATCTCAAAATGATTGTGCTTATTTTAGCTTGTTATAGGAGAGTCAGTTTCACAGAGGAAAAATACACACATTATATCAATTCAGTATTTTGTGTTTGGAATATAGTGGCTTCAGTTTCAAAAATGCAAAGAATAGGTGTTTTTTTAGACAGATGGGAAACACAATTTCATACAATTTCTGAAAAAATTTGTGACCAGTTACTGATGAACAATCTCAACAGCTACCAACTGTTTAAAAAAAAAAAATGGAATCTCCACAGCAGTACTTGTGGAATTCTGATTGTTTAGTTAGTTTTCTGTGAAAAGCATTTTGATGTCCTACAAATTATTTCCTGAATATTTTCACAAATTACCATGTTCAACTACTAAAAAACTACAGAGAATTTCAGTTCTTTTAAATGCTTGGCCAGAAATTATTTTACAGCCCTGGTGTTTTTTAAAAAATTTAATAATTTTTTTTCAGGGTCAATTAAGTGAAAGCATGGACCATGGGGGAGTTGGACCATATGAAATGTAAGTTTGTTCTAAAAAATTCTACTAATAGAGTACCAAATTTTATAGGCAGTTAACTCTTTACAAGCATTAGTGACATGATTCCAATCAGTCTCAGATGTCTTAATGACATTTGTAGACTGCTTATTCAATTTAAAAGCTAAATCTGATGATGGTATTGATACAACTTTTGTATTGTATTGTATTACATTATACTATATCGTAATATTGACTGCTCTGAGTCTGTTAAATATTGTGTCCTTCAAGAATTTTATTGTTTTAAGTGAACAGTTTTGAATATCCTGTGTGTCAGCATATCAAGTATCAATTTAATTGTTGTGGGTATTACTCCCTTAACACTGTGACCACAGCCTCTACAGCTTAGTGGATGGTCTTTGAAAGTTCCTGTGGCTGAAAATTGTGTCAACCAGGAATCAACCTGATAAGTCTCTCTGACTTAACTATACTCAGATAATAGACATAGAGTCTATCACCAGACCACAATGCTTAAGTTTTTACAAGCCTAATAGGGAAAAGCTTGAAATTTATTGGCATACCCCTTGTAAAGTAGGGCTGCTCCACGTAGCTCCATGGCACAGTACCATATTAGATGACTTTAGGAGGCGTTCATCCATAATTTAATTTTTTAAAGCCATGTAAGTTACACAGAAAAGTCAAGTACTTTTTGTTGTACATTATGAGCATTATCCTTATACTAAAATGTATATAGTCATGTTACTATTTAGTTAAACTAGGGTGAACACGTTAATAGTTGGGTCGTTGATTTCCCCTTGATACTAAGAAGATACACAGTAGTACAAGTATAATAGTTGTGAAGAATTAATTTAAATCACTAGGCAAAATTGATACCTATTTTGGTGCTTATTTCAGACTAAAAGCAAATGTGGAAAGATGAATAAATAGATTTAACTGTTTAAAAAAAAAGCTGCTACCTACAACAGTAGAAGTGATTGGAGGGTTTTCATTTATTTTTATTCTGAACCTAAACCAAATAAAAATGAGCATTTCCATATACATTGCAGAACAGAAAGAGGAGTATTCTGTGTGAAGCTGTGGATCTCCAGCATGTAGAGCTTCCTTTTCTTTTTAAGTATATGATAAATTCAGCGTGTACCTTTCAAAGCTGTGCTGTTCATCTGTGATTATTTCTGTGTTCTTTTTTTGGGGGGAGGGGGATAGGAACCCACCCCTTTAAAAAGAAAAAAAGAAAAACCAGACCCTTGATACAATATGTATAGATGAGTAAAACATGTTGGTTGTGTCCACAGATGTACATCTTATTTATCACCACTCTGTCAGGAAGTAAAGAACATGCCTTTTCATCAGTCCTTTGGAGTTAGAGTTGTTCATTTCATTGATCAGCTTTTTTTAAAGTCTTTCAGAGTTGTTTTTCTTTACAGTGTTATTGTTATATTATTGTATAAATTGTTCTGGTTCTGTTTACTTCACTCACTTCAGTTCATATAGTTTTTTCTGAAACTGTCCCCTTCATCATTTTTTTATAGCACTGTAATATTCTACTGCATTCATATGCCTTAATTTGTTCAGTTGTTCTCCAGCTGATAGGCACCCCCTTAGTTTCTAGTTCATTACTATTACCAAAAGAGCTGCCATAAATATTTTCATACATATGGATCTTTTCCTTCTTTCTTTGATTTTTTAGGTTATAGCCTTGGCAGTCGTATTGCTAGGCCAAAGGGGTATGCACAGTTGAGTCATTTTGGGGGCATAGTTCCAAATTGTTTTTGGTTGGATATTTTTAGACAACTCCCAGGATATTTCCAGATGAGCATAAAGTCCAAACTTTGTCTTACATAATATTCAAATTATGAAAGTAAATTTTTCTTTTTTATATCAGATAGTTGATAAATCTTTTTCTGCTTGCTTGCTTACATTTTTAAGGTATATGATGCTTATAAAAGAAAATGCAATTCAGATTGTCAGTGTCAGAGCACTTTAGCTGCCATATATTTGCCCCTATGGCTTTCCTCAGATCAAGGATACTAAATTGTGTAATATGCATTTTTTTTTTTACTTAACGGGATTACATTTCTCTTTTTCTTTCTGAGAACATGATGAAGAAAATATAAATTTTTGCCAGTTGACTTTTGGTTTTGCTTTTCTCCCCAGTGGCATGGAACATTGTGAAAAATTTGAAATCTCAGAAACTAGTGTGAACAAAGGGCCAGAAAAAATAAGACCAGAATGTTTTGAGCTACTTCGAGTACTTGGTAAAGGGGGCTATGGAAAGGTAGGAAATACTTTTTCAAAGTTACCATATCCCAAATAAGAACTAAGAACTGTCTTCTCTCTGAAGTGGATAGCTTGGTCTAAACTGTTGGTCCAAGGGCTAGCCTTTAATAGTAGGTAGCCCCTACTATTTGAGGAGTGACAGGAGGATTCTCTTCTAGCTACCATCACCTTGCTGGTGTTAACCATATGGGAAATTCTTAGATGTGTATTCTTGGGTTAAGTAGGTCATCTTCTTTTAAAATGCATATATATCCTTGGGAAAGGGTATTATTCTAAATGGCTATCAGATACTAATTGAGGTGGGGCTTTAGAACAACAAAAGACAACAAGTGCCTGGGACAGTAGGAAAGTGTGTAGAGGGGTGGTACTGGAGATAAATTTTGCCTATTTCAGATAGCCAGGATTGTCCCTTTTATGAGATCTTTGAAAATTTGGTTGGAGTAAACATGTTCTCTGTATGTCAGAAGGCAAGATCTGGACAGTAACGTACCTTGGAAGTGTGTCACTTTTTTCAATATGGTATTGTATGGTAGTATGTAATTAATTTTTACGAAACATAATATTTATATATTATTCTGAGAATTGAGGTCAATAAGTGAACACTAAAACTAAAATATCTTGAACACTCAAACTTTGAATATCTGATTACTTTAGCTATTGCTTGAAAATTATTTAACCGTGGTTTTTATAGAGGGCCAGCCTCAGAGTCAGGAAGACTCAAGTCCTGAGTCTTTCTAGGGAAGTCACTTTACCTCTCAGTGTTCTAGGCTTTTCTCTATGAGTTGCAAAGGTGCTGACCTGCATTGGTAAAAAGGAATTTCCTCACCAGGGAGTTCCCTATGTCAATGAAATTACAGGTCCTGTTCCCTATCACTATCCATGTCTGCTGTAATAGGGTGTAAATTAACAATAGTGAAATCTTATTGACTCCCGCATTGCTGAACTATGAAGCAAAAACAGTGAAACACTTTTCTAATCATTCCTGGAAGAAATTTGTGAAACATTAGCAGACTTTTTAGTTTTGTGTAAATTTCTCTTTGAGCTTTGCCTATAATTTGTTCTAAGCAAATTTTTGGATTTTGTATAGTAAAGGAATACTCTGTATATTTGAAACCCCACTGGACAGTTTTTCCCACCAGATGGCAACAGATCAAAATAGGAAAACTGCCAAGTGCTATGTACAAAACTGTTACTCAGTCCTGAACTTGGGCAGTGTTTTTAGGTGATCAGCAGCACCTAGTGTTTTCCTGCCTCTTATTATCCAAGATATCCCAAACCTCTTAGTGCATTTTTAAGCTATTAAAGCTTATGGCTTTGGGGACACTCTGTATTTACAGTATATTTATACCCCTGAATCATTCTTTTTTTATGATTGGGAAGTATGAAGGTTTGACTTGAAGCTCTACCTATCGTCAGTACAACTTTTCGTTTTTCATGATCATCTGTTATGTTTAACTTTTGATACGCAGGTTTTCCAAGTACGAAAAGTAACAGGAGCAAATACTGGGAAAATATTTGCCATGAAGGTGCTTAAAAAGGTGACTACTCCTTATTTTCCATATTACCTTTTTTCCTACCTTTATCAACTTCTTTGGTTGAGCGTGCTTTGGGAGGATGTGGTGATGGTAGGGGTTCCCCCAAAGAAGCAAACTGATTATTTGGTTTATTAAGATGTTTGTGACAGTTTGGCCTTTAGCCTCTTCAGCAATTCAACATTGAGTGCCTACTAGGCAGTGCTTGGACATGAAAATGCAAAGATAAAAATGACATAGGACTTATTTTCAAGGAGCTTAAAATTGTCTTGTATATGTCATTCAGTTTTTCCATTTCTCTGTTCGCAGTGGAGTAAGGAATAAAACATATACAGGAATAAGTAGAATGCAAGGTATCGAGTGAGGTGGGCAAAGGAGGGGTCCAAAGTATTTTAGGATTATGTGAGGAAGGAAAGATCACTTGAATATTTTCAGCAGGGTTGAAAGGAAGGGAGTGGAAAGGGGACAAACAGAGAAGGCTCTGTAGAAGAAGGAAAACTTATTTAATCTTTGAAGGAAAATGAGGATTTTGGAGAGGGAGTACATCCCAGCCATAGGAGACAGTCCATATGAAAGTGGAATCAATGGACATTTCAAATTTGAGAAGCAACAAGTAGTTCCAGTTTGGCTGTAATACAGAGCATATGAAGACGAATCATGTTAAATAAGATTGGAAAGGTAGGGACTACCTCATGTATAGAGATGGGGGCCCTGTGTGGGTCCCCAACAAGGCTATAAGCAATCACTGAGATAGAACATGTCAGAAAGTACCTTTGTCTCTTCTCACATTGAATGAACAGATGTGGACTTTTCTGTTGGCTAGCTGGGGCTTGCCAATCCTTTCTTTAAGGCAGTATATGAGTAGCTCACTGGGCTGAAAGTTGAAAAAACATAAATTCTAAGCTTACTGTTGATTTTAGATCTTATCTAAGGTTTCCGAACCTTAATTACTGTAGATAAAATAGGGCTAATATTTTCCATCTGACCTTTGTAACCATTTGAGAACTAACAAACTTATCAAACATATTGAATTTTGAAATAGAACAGAAAAAAAAAAAGAAATAGAACAGGAAATTTAATACTTGTCCAGGAAATGTCTCAGGAAGAGTTCAGGCTTTGGTACTTGAATCACTGTTTTAGAATTAGAGGCTTTTAAACAAATATTGGTCAAAATTATACCCTGAGCTAGATGTGTTTTTGTCATTTCTGAGGGCCATTCTGAGAAATTTTGGAGGTAGGGTAGGCTATAGACTCAATAACCATTTGCAATCACAGAGCCAGGTTTGGGGATGACAAAAAAATGCACTTGGTGGAAATAAGATGTCAGTAGCAGTGGCAAGTCATCCTCATAATGCCACTTTGGGCAGCCTAGGCAACATCATGGGTCACCAACCCCAAAGTATATCCCTGGTAACAAATTAACTAACCGTCCTGGCCATACTATGTGTGGAGAGTGGTGAAAAATTGTTCACTCCATCAGTATTTGCTGATTTGGATAATATTAAAAAACAGTACAGAATGGATTTTTCATTAAGTGTGTAGAAGACAATTATGTCTGCTGTAAATGCCCAGACCATTCTGTCATGTCATCTTTCTTCTTTTAGGCTATGATAGTAAGAAATGCAAAAGATACAGCTCATACAAAAGCAGAACGAAATATCCTCGAGGAAGTAAAGCATCCCTTCATTGTGGACTTAATTTATGCCTTTCAGACTGGTGGAAAACTCTACCTCATCCTGGAGTATCTCAGTGGTCAGTATGCACTGCTGTATTCCCTTATTCCTAATTGTTCTAGAAACTGGGTCAAAAATGTTATACAAAAGGTAATATTATTGTCCTAGTAGTACAGTTAAGCAAAAGTTATAATTTGTATAAAATATGCTTTTCCAGCTCAGCCAATACTTATTAGGTACCTGTTGTGTATAAGCCACTGTGATAAGGGTTGGGAGTAGAGGTTCCCAAACTTATTTGGCCTACTGCCCCCTTTAAAAAAAAAATTACTCAGCACCCCCTGAAAATCTGCTTTCTTTAACCCTTTAACGGTTTTTTAAAAATGTGTCATTTCAAAAAAATAATAAATTTTTTAAAAAAATGATGCATCTTAAATTTAATAATTTATTGTAAATTTGTGGGTTTTTTCCTGCATTGAAATTCTGAAGATTGCATCATGTAACTGTGTAGTGTCGTATTGTAAACAAGTCGTTACATGCACACATTCCTGTCGATGCATGCTGGACTTCCACACACTCACCTCCCAACACTTATATGTTAAGATCTGTTGGTGGACTTGACCACTGATTCGTTGTAACTTGCATTTTGTATTTATTTGGAAAATAATGTAATCACTACAACTTTAACTGTTACACAGCAGATGAAACATGTACGAACTGTTTTAAAAATTTTCTTCTCTTCTTATGCTTCCAGTGCCCCCTCATTTTTATTCAGTTGATGCCCCCAGTTGCACCTGAGGCTACTACCAACGCCTTGGATCATTCTAGCTGGGCCGAGGGGAGGTTGGGAGTGTAAAAATGACACAGTTGCTGGCCTTGAATTTAGTCTACCAGAAATAATATGGCAAATACACAGTTATGTATAATATAAGAGTCTGTTAGGGGCAGGAGAGATCTAGACACAGTGCTTTGGGAAGTATGAAAGAGAAAAAATCAGTTTCAGCTTGGAGATTCACCAAGGAGGTGGCGCCTAACCTCAGCTTTAAAGCAAGAGAGAGATTGACAGGTAGAGGGAAAAAGAAAATGCATCATATGCATGTGAGACAATCTGTATCAGGATACAAAGGAAGGAAATGGTATGTCAAGTTTGGGTAGCAGCCACTAGTCCATTCTTTGCAACATAGGAGAAAAGGTCATCCACTAAAAGTGGGGGTTAAGTTTAAAGAAAAGCCAGTGTGAGGAATGGGATAGAGATGTTATGAAAGGCAAATAGAAGGGCTTGTCATTTTGCAGTGAGGGCCCAGTTCAGATTAGATAGAGTGAAAGTAGTATAGCCAGTCACCCCAATTTGTGGATTCCTCCAGCAGCTTGGCTTTTGAGTCAGAGCAGAGAAGATAGGCAGTAGGGGTGACCCAGAGTTGAGGATTACCAGGATAAGGGAAGAGAAGGGTAGAGGAGAGTACCTTGTTGAACTTTACATTTAGTGTAAATCTTGTCCATAACTAGCACTTAAAATTGTGAATGAAATGACACATTGACAAAAGTAGTTAGAATTGATTAAGAGTTGTTATTTTTAGCTGTGTGACCCTGGGCAAGTCTCTTAACCCCAATTGCCTAAAAAATAAAAATAAAAAATAAATTGTTACTTTGAGTCATATTCAAAGGAAAATTTAAAAGCTAAATAAATCTCAACTTCAACCTTTTTATCTTATATGTTTTTCTTATCTCATAGTAGTCACTTACACAGTGGGGTAATAATAAAAAATTAACCTTATGTATTGAGAGTTGAGATACTTTGATACAAATAAAATAGTTAATCCTTTATAATCCTGGATTTTTAGAGAGCATTGAAGTATTGGTGGGAGTGAGTATGACAATCAATGTATTTGTAATTGGTTCTGTCAGCAAACGTTTATGCAGCACCTGTGATGTGCCAAGCATACATAGTGAGGCTGCAAGATGTTGTAGTGGATAGAGAGCTGGCTTTGGAGTCTTGTCCAGGGCTTGTTACCTCTCAGTGCCCTGGTCCAGTCTCAGAGTCTTGCCATTTGTATTGGTTGCTGGAGTTTCCTCATCAGAAGTGCTTCATACCAGTGAAAACACAAATCCATTTGGAAAAAAAAAAAAAAGGAAAATGTGCAGGTTCTGGAGATACCGATACCAAAATGAAACAGCCCTTTCCTTCAGGAGCTTACATTGTATCAGGAAAGATAACATAGGCACACATATAAATATATATCAGAGAGATAGAAGGTGATTTGTTGAGTAAGCTCTGGCAGCTGGAGGAATCAGGAAGGGCCTAAAGTAGATGGTGTTTGAGATGAGCTTTGAAAGGGACTAGGCTAGGGATTCCAAGAAAAATCAGGTGAGGAAGTAGATCATTCAGGCATGAGGGATGACCTGGGCAGAGACCCAGAGACAGCTGATGGAATGCCTTGTATTGAGGTACAGCAAGAAGGTCAGTTTGGCTGGAATGTGGAGTGTGTGAAGGGGAGCAATGTAACGTCAAAAAGGTAAAGTATTGATAAGGCAGAAAAGAACCAGGTGGTGAAGGGCTTTAAATACTAAATAGAGGAATTTATATTTGCTTCTAGAGGTAATAGAGAGCTTCTAGAGTTTGAGTGACATAGTCATATTTGTGCTTAGGAACATCATTTTGGCAGCTCTGGAGCATGGATCGTAAAGGGGGGAGACTGGGGACAAATTAGGGAACAGTTGGAATAGTTTAGGCAAGAAGTGATGAGGCCTGAACTGGGGTGGTGACCATAGGAGGAGAAAGAATGGAGGTTGAATTGTTAAGACTTGGTTACTGATTGGACATGTAGGGTCAGGGAGGGTAAGGAGTTAAAGATGGAATCCAAGGTTATGAACTTGGATGTCCAGAAGGAAGCAGAAATCAAAAAGCTCAGAGAAGAAGTGGGTTTGGAGAAGGAAAAAGAGGCAAAAAGATAATGGATTCAATTTTGGATATGTCCAGAACAGACCCTTGGAGTATACTCTCAGTCAAATGGTGGACTATGAATAATGATCTAGCAAAGGAGATAGAGGAGTGGTAAGAAGAAAAGAGAGAGACTAGTGTCACTAAAACCCAGAGAGGATAAAGTGTCTAGGAGGTAGAGCATGGATGACAGTGACATAGGCTTCAGAGAAGCCCAGAAGGCTGAGGGTGTTGAAAAGGCCAGCAGATATTTGACAGTTGAGAGATAATTGCTAACTTTGGAGAGAGCAGTTTCAGTGGAGTGCTGAGGTTGGAAGCCAGATTGTAAGGGGTTGAGAAGTGAGATAAAATGAGTGATTTGAGTATGACAACCTTATACCTGCAGTTTGCTGTGGGACATTTACTTTAAGTACCATTTTTCCCTAGGCAAAAATTTGTTTGCCTTTTCCCATACATTTCTTTGTTTACTTCTGGAGGGTCCCTATCAGGTTTCCTTTAGGCCTAGCCTGTGGGTTGGTTTTTGTGGGGGATTTTTTTATATGGGCAAGGTATAGGCATTTAGTAGTCGGTATGACTGGTTTAATTAGCACATCTCCTCATATGGATAAATTTTACTGAGGCTTAAATATAAGGTTTTATTTTATCTGAAATCTTCACAAATATGTAGTTTGTAAATATAAAAACTAGGATTTCAAGTCAGATCTTCATTATAGTTTTTAAACCAATATCTTTATTATCATATAAATAAGAATAGTGAGTTTAAAAAGAGAGGCCAGAAATGGAAATTATTTCTAATGTCCTTTTCATCCTTCCACAGGAGGAGAATTATTTATGCAGTTAGAAAGAGAGGGAATATTTATGGAAGATACAGCTTGGTAAGTTCCATTTTGGTGGCTTCGTAGTTTTAGATAATTCATAAAATTAAAAAATAGGATCTCATTCTCCCTATGGACTGTCAAATGTTCAAAGGTTCTTCACATGTGAATTCTTTACTAGCAACTTTGAAGCTACATTGCTTTTGAAGATCTCACTATTTCTTTACCTGTATCCCACCCCCTGGGTAGGGGTCTTCTCATGCCTGTACTTCATTCTTGCTGGGGCTTTCTTTATCTGAGCTGGTGAGCCACCAGCCTCATTCCTGGGTCAGTATAGGTGCTCATGTGTGTGTTTGGTGGGGGGGTGGGGGGGGTGGAGTTCATCTGTCTTGGTACTACCTCCAGCCACACAGACTTTAGCAAACTGTACACATGAGTTGCTATGGCTGAAAAGAGCATTACCTAGTGACCGACTTTCTGAAAGTGAGCCTCTGAATTTAGCTGACTGGTCCTCAGATGAAAGACACACAGTCTATCATTACAGCCATATTTGAAGCCTTTCCAGCACCTTGTGCCTTTGAGAGCCTATGGTCCCCTCCACACCAGGAGGAGGTATCAAACTGCTACTTGGATAAAGTAGGTCTTAATACTATATTGCACATTGAAAAGTTGCACATCCTGTAACGAAGTTACCATTTTAGGTAGTAGTAATTGTTTATCCTATGTATTAATTGAACAAGAGACAAAACTTAAATGTATAAACCTAATTACCAAACTGCATTCCATTATTTAATTTCAAGCTTTTTCAAATAGCTGCACTTAAGAGCCTTAGGGATGAAATTCCATACAGGAACTTTCCAAGTTAGAATCTGTTGGTGGTCTTGGGGGCTGTTAAATTGCCTCAGTCTTCTAAGACCTACCCTGCAGGATTAACAGCATTATGCTGCAGCCAGTCAAGTGTCTTGTGTTTTTCCAATCCAGAGAGGGTTTACTTAGCCCTTTATTCTATGGAGGTGGATGAATTTGAGTATTATCCAGTGTACAGGTTGTGGGCTGGCTTCAAATGGAGTTTGACTTAGTAAAAGGATGAGCAGGAGAGAGCAGGGAAAAAGGGCTTCTTTAAAGTAGGACATTTGATTTGTGAGATAAACAAAACTCTTTATGAGATTTTTTTTTTTTTAAGGTATAAATGGGTACGGGGAAATTTGCTTTCAATTGAATGTTTATTACAAGCAAAACAAATCTTGACCAGTGAGAGACAGGTTGGACTGCTGGAGGCTTTTTTGAAATTGAAGTGGTAACCTAAAGCAAGTTAACACTTGATAGTTTTACTTTGTTACACCCTTTAGCAAAAACATCCCAAAAAAACTAGGCTATTTTTGTATTTTCCCTAATAATTTACTCTCCTATGTCTCATGTTTCTTTTAAGGAATTGTTGTTCCATACCTAACTTTTCAGTATATGAGTTGATTTTGGACTGTCTAGTATTTTTAATTATGTCAAATCACTTTTGTTCCAGCTTTTACTTGGCAGAAATCTCCATGGCTTTGGGGCATTTACATCAAAAAGGGATCATCTACAGAGACCTGAAGCCGGAAAATATCATGCTTAATCACCAAGGTGGAGATAACAGTAAACAATTCTATAGTAAATAATCATCTTAAAATCCTCTCTGTAGGCCACAACCATTTTTAAAGTCCCCACATATATTGCACTAAAATTTTTCTCTCCAAATTTCAAAGCACCAAGATACTTGCTGGTAGTTAACTATTTAGTTACCTTTTAGTTGATGAGAATGAGAGAGTTCAACATTCCTAGTCAGGGCAGTGATTTCCTTTAATAACACTTAAAGAAATATCATTTCACTTGCCTTTATTTCGTCTCTCCATCAGAGGAAGATTCTTAATACATAGCAGTACTGTGAGTAGGGAACCAAAAATCAAACCCAAAGGTTAATTTTTAAAAAAATTTTTTTTTTGAGGCAGTTGGGGTTAAGTGACTTGCCCAACATCACACAGCTAGTAAGTATTATAGGCCGAATTTGAACTCAGGTCCTTCTGACTCCAGGGCTGGTGCTCTATCCACTGCATCACCTAGCTGCCCCCTTTTTTCTTTTAAACTAGAACAGAGTTCTAGTTTAAAAGAAAAGTCCTATATAAATCGGGACCTTATTTGATGAGTTGAAATGAACTTTTAATAAGTACTGATAGTTTTGCTTTCTACCATGAATTGTTCGAACCATCATTGCTTGGAACAGAAATTTGAATCAAACAGAAAATTTATTACAGCTCTGGAAAAAAAAATTTTTAGTGGCACTCGTCAGGTTTCCCACTCTTTTGCTTGCCAAAGTCAAGATAAGGGCATCCATGTGCTATTGTAGACAGATGACTCCCAGAATGACCTCAGAGGGGACCAGTCCAACCTTTACCTGAACAAGAATCCTCCATCCACAACATACCTAACCTAATGAGGCTTTCTTATATATTACGTTTTCCTGTATGTTCATTAAATTCATACTGGCTGACCCTTGTATTTTGGACTATATTTGATTTTTTAAAAAATCACTTCAGAAACCTAACATTTGAAAATCAGAATCCAATTCCTAATCATTAGTCATGAGCACCTTTGTTCATATCTAAAACTTCATATCTGTTGTCACCCCAATTTCTGGCAATATCTGTATTCTTGCAAGGATCCTTCCTTTCCTTTTGCATTTCATGTGCAAGATTGTTGTTGTTTTTAAGTTTCAGCTTTATGAATAGTCCCTCCAGAACTATGTTACTGAAGAGAAACTCTAGGATGAATATGCTTGATTGACTTTTCACACAGGATTGGGGGGTGGAGAGGGAGGGATGGGATACCAAATATATAGTTGCTATTATCAGCTACCTATGGAAACTGGGTATCCTCATGTTAGTTAGCTGAACAGGAAATGCAGTAAAATTACTCCTTGGATACTGAGGCCAGTATCATAATTAAAGTAAAGGATGAACCATGTGCCTTTCTATAATGACATTTGCTTTTCAAATACTTGAAATGTTCTGTGGATTTCTTCACTACATCTGTTGGGCATGGGATCTATTGCCTATTTGTATTTCGGTTCCTGTTTACTTTTGTGTGTGTATATCTGTATTTAAGCCATGGTTCTGAATTCTGAGGCAGACGACAACGTTAGAATAACCAGTTAGGTTAATCTCCTTTTGATGTTAATCCCCACGTCATATTGATAAGATATGTCATTTCTCTTACTTTGAGTGTATGGTGAATTCACACACAGAGATCAGGAGGCCTAGTGCCTTATTCCTGTTTTTTGCCCAGTCATGTCTGAGGAGTAGGAAGGCAGCTAGAATAGCTTACATCTGATGGTGTAAGTAAAGGAAAGCCTGAGATGAAAGTGTCATTTAGTGTGAGATATGTTTTTCTGGTTCTGAGAGTCTTAGCACTCCACAGCAGTTTCATTTATCTCCACTGATGAGCAGATGACAAGATAAGCTAAATCTATTTGTTGCCATAAGTAATGCCTTTATAAGCTTTTAAGTCACAATTCTTTGTCATTCAACTATACATTATTTGTAAATTACTGCATTTCTGTATAAAAAAGGCTGGAAATCTGCATCAATCTTTATATGTAAACTAGATCCCTAGACTCTTAACCAATTAACAAGAAGTATCTTCAACCTAGGATGGTACCTTCAATGGATGATAATGTACTCTAGGTGAGTTCATAATGGGAGTCATGCATGGACATCTACTCCTTCCTGACCTATTGTTCCTGACCTGTTATTCCCTGATTCCACCTTAGTAGCAGAAAATGGCTGCTTGCCTATCTCATATTTTGACATTCCAGTTTTATGAGTATATGTAAGATTGAGTTAAATTCATAATACCTACTTTTTACTGGATGCTTAGAAATGGTTTGGATAAGAAAAAGTTAAACATAGGGGCCATCTAAACAGATTGTTTCTGTGTGATATGTTTGTTTTCTCTTTTACACATACTTAACAGTTCTCAGAATAACCCTGCTATCATCTTTCATTTCAGGTCATGTGAAATTGACGGACTTTGGACTATGCAAAGAATCCATTCATGATGGAACAGTCACACACACGTTCTGTGGAACAATAGAATACATGTGAGCTGCATGTTGAAAGCAATATAACTCTGGTCTGGGGGTAATAGCTAAATTTTTCCTGTTTTAAGTAATAGTTCACAATATTTAGTGGAATTATTTATTTCAAATACAGTTTTTTTTAAAAATGCTAATTAACTTGAAGAATGTCCTATCAAGTGTTTTTAGGTGGATTCTTCTTTTCATTGTAGGGCTCCTGAAATCTTGATGAGAAGTGGCCATAATCGTGCTGTGGACTGGTGGAGTTTGGGGGCATTAATGTATGACATGCTGACTGGAGCAGTAGGTGCACAGTTAAAGACTGCATGCTTTTCAACTCATGGCGGGTAGTTGTTGAATCACAGTGATGGACCTTCTGTGGAGAGCAAGCGTACTGTGTAGATAGAAGTTACTAATATAGTGTGGTTTTAAGCGGTTTTCAAAGCAAGTTCCCAGAGATATATTAGAAGTAGACTTTGTACTTGTAGAGCCCTTTATACTTTTTAAAGTTCTTTTATCTGTTTCTTCATTTGATTCTTAGAACAACCCTGTGAAATTTACAGGGACAGATGAAGAAACAGGCTGAGAGCTCAAGTGACTTGTCCAACTGCCTAGCAAATTAATGACAAGCCTGAGCTCAGAATCTAGATCTGTTTAATCTAGTGACCTTTATGCTATATCATAGCATCTTTAAAATCTGCATATATTTAGCACTCAGCTTATTTCTCAGCATGAAAACTGTTGTTTTCATGCGTCATATAGTATAATTAACTAAATTAGAAACATAACAGTTTGTGAAACTATTTTTTAAAAAATCCCTTATAAGGACTTTCTTGTTTTTTTTGTTTTTTGTCCTGCTGTCTTCCTCCTTTCAGCCCCCATTTACTGGGGAGAACAGAAAGAAGACAATTGACAAAATCCTCAAATGTAAACTTAATTTGCCTCCCTACCTCACACAAGAAGCCAGAGATCTGCTTAAAAAGGTAGGTTTTCTTCAAATATACACATACATAATACATTCTTACACAAGCATGAACACAAAACATCTGTCGTTAGCTTGAGACAGACAGGTAGGATTAAACTTTAATCCATTTTAACTGGTGTGTAATAGATATTTTGAGAATTGAAATGGTCATGGACATTGGATTAATAGCTATGCTTTTCTTGAAGGTAAAATCCAGATGTATTTGATCAAAAACTTATTCTTTTTTTCCCAATAATATACAGGAGAAATTACTGAAAAATAGATACTACAACTTTAATAAATAACTTTGAACAAGTGTTCCTAAGAATTATCTATTTTAAATCATTCATCTTTTTTTTCCCTCCAAGCTGCTAAAAAGAAATGCTGCTTCGCGTCTTGGAGCTGGTCCTGGGGATGCTGGAGAAGTTCAGGTAAGAATGGCACGTTGGATTCTCAGTGGCTCTTTTATGGAAGATGCTTTTTTATTTTAAGATGAGGGATGTAGAAATGTTGAGCATACTTGGAAAGCTAAATCATGTAGAGAGCTGTAAGTCTTGCTTGACCTGTGTAGGCTGTTCCTGGTCAGTTTCTCTGTTTTTTCTTAGGCTCATCCTTTCTTCAGACATATTAACTGGGAAGAACTTCTGGCTCGGAAAGTGGAGCCCCCCTTTAAACCTCTTTTGGTATGTCATGTATTAAAAAACATTTCTGAGAATCCAGCCCCTATTTTTGTTGAGAAGAATGATACATTTCCCCAGTCTAAGAACTGTGGTCAGTTCCTATTATTATCATGTTATTAACTCTAGACAAACTTATTTTATTCTTCTCTTGGGAAATGTCATTTTGTAAAGTCTTTTAAAGAAACTAGTTCCAGTAGTGAATGCTTTCTGGATGTATGACGAATATTGCTTAGAAATTTTTAGTGTCCAATTCAAGATATTGAAAATTCTTACCTTGTTTTTCAAAACCTTTTTCAGTCTTAATCACTTGGAGCCTTTTCCTCCCAAATAAGTGATAGGCAGGTGAATTAGCATGCATTGGGGCTTTTACACTAAAACATGTTTTTTTCCTTTAATCTAGAAACTGGGTGGAATTCAAAGGTAGAGTACAGCTTGCCCTATTTTAAATGAATTATCTTGGATTTTCCTTCTACCCACAAGGAAATTTTGTAAAGCTAGTGCTATATAACCTGTTTTTTAAAAAAATTAGTAATTTTTGCATTAGCCAACTCTTAGTAAGAATTTAGTCAGGGCTGTTGGATATACTTGAGAGTGATTAGGTGGTAGGGATAAAGGTACTTTAAAGGCAGATGAAGATGGATAGGAAGTCAAAAGAATAATGTTCTAGTCCTTGTTATGCCACAGATTTCTTGTATGACCTTGACAAGTCACTTTGAATCTTGGCTTCCTCATTTGTCAGATGACAGATTTGGACTGGATTACCTAAAATGACTGCTAACCCTACTAGGTTTATCATCAGTTTATGCCAATAATTAAGTTATGATTCCCAGAACTAATCGTAATTATATCTAGCCTGATCTCTCTCATGAGCTCCAGCCCACAAGCTGGACATCTAAAATTGGGTGTCATGTGGACCTCTCAAACTCAACATATCCAAAACTCATTGTTTTGTTCCCCCAAACCCTTAGTATTACTGTTGAGGGACACCACCATGGTCTCAGTTATCCAAGCTCACCACCTTGACGTCGTCTTCTGCTCCTCTCTCACATTCACTTCACATATCCAGTCTGTTGCCTTGCTCTACTCAGATAACCACCACCCCAATTCAGCCCTCATCAGCTGTTACATAGACTACTGCAATAGCTTCTTTATTAGTCACCCTTCCATAAATCTTCCCCCACACTAATCTGTCCTCTACTCAGCCATGAAAATGATGTTCCTAAAGAACGGGTTAGCCATGTTAACTCTTTACTTAATAAACTCCAGTGGCTCCCTTCTATCTCCAGGATCCAAGATAAAATCCTCTGTTTGGTTTTCTAAAGCCCTTCACTCCCTAGCCCCTTCCTAACTTCCCTGTTATCTTTCACTGTAATTCCCTCTATATACTGTGATCTAGCAACATTAGTCTTAGAGACAGAGACAGAGACAGACAGTCTTATTAGTAATTGTTTAACAAGTGTCTTGGTACTCGAGAAATGATTTAATGAATACTTGTTGACTGACTTTTTAGATAACGCTTGTATCTGTTTTTAAGCAAAACATTCCTTAGTCTTCAAGAAGCATACATTCTATTGGAATATGATATACAAGGTTCTAAGAAGTGTCAACCATATAGTAGATCTGTTACTAATTTGCAGTTTTTTGAAGCATGTTTAAAATTTTAAAAGCATATTTAAAATAGTGTGTGGGTTTTTATTCTTGTTAGTCAGCCTCTGCCTTCATTGTCAATGTCTGTTAATTGAGTTCTAGGATTTTATTAAAGTCAAAAGGTGTGGGATGAGCCTCATTTAGAAGCTTCACAGATGGATATAAAATCTTTTGATGTATCATATAGCCTATTTGCCATTTTGTTTTTGCAAAGCAATCTGAAGAGGATGTGAGCCAGTTTGATTCAAAGTTTACACGTCAGACACCTGTTGACAGCCCAGATGACTCAACTCTCAGTGAAAGTGCCAACCAGGTCTTTCTGGTAAGATAGGATTTTCATGCATCTCTGGGAAATGCAAAGATAAGAGAGTGCCCCTCAACAAGAAAAGTCAGTTTGGAATGGTTTTCTTGCTTTACAAGCTCACGTAAAGCATTTGAGAGATTCTCTTTAGAAATTTTCCCCATAATAGTGCATTTGAACCCAGAAAATTGGTCCTTAATCCAATACCATACATAGCAAATGTGAGAATTTAGAAACCACTGTGCCAGCAGCATATTTTTCATGGCTAGCCTATCAACTTGCTTCTACCTGGAGAGTGAAGATGATATACTACTTGGGGAATAGAGAATGCTATTCAGCTTCCCATCTGTGGGTAGAGGGAGGGGATAGTGATCTTTAGAGAAAGCAATCCATTAAAACCTCAAAAACATAACTCTTTAATACCAGAAACAGACTGCAGTTGTATCCTTTGTTTGCTAAAGAATTTTGACATTTTTGAAGATCTATCTCAAATAACATTTCTTAACCATATTTTAATTATTTCTCCACTATGGGGGAGGGGGAAGTAAAAACCATGAGATTAGGAAGAGTTTTTAAAAATTAATTCTAGGTCTGGTGTGGTACTGAGCTCTCTGAATTTTACCAAAAAGTGTAGTTGAATAAAAGGGTACCTTTCAGGGAATGAATATTACTTAGGCACTACTTTTTTCTTTTGTTTGCTACCAAAAAATGAAAGTGAATTTGCTTCTCAGAAATTGGCTTAGCCAAAGAACCTTTCCCCTTAGTAGTGCAGTGTTTCAGCTAAGGTAGTAATTCCCATCAGTAGACAGCATCTGGAAATATTTTATTCAAGGATGGGAAAAATCAAAAGTGGTAAAAGTGAATTTCACACAGATTACATTAGTCTCTGGCTGAGATCTTTATTTCCTCTCCAATAGTAAAATTTTAAATTACTGAATTCAACCCATTTCAATGGAAATTTATTATTGTATTGCCTAACTCTTTATCATTACACTTAACTTTTTTTCTTGTACTTGATATTAATGGACCAAATCTTTTAAAGTTTGTTATATTGCCCTTGGACCTTTGTGCCTAAAGTGTTCCTCTTACTTATCCAGAGGTCAGCCTTCGAGCAATCTCAAGCCTCTGGGACACAGCCCCAAACCTGGAAGTATGAGGAAAAAGGCCTTTGAGCTCCAGAAGTAGTGGTCGCAAAGCACTTCCACTAAAAATGTCATGTACTTTGTCTTACTATTAGTAAGGCCTTATGATATTTAACACATAATTCTCAACCAGCTTGATTATCTGGTTTCCCAGCCTACAGCAGATTAGAAGCAGCAATTTAGAAGTGGGATGGAGGTGGGGCTGTTAACTGCTGTCTCAGTGTGCCTGCCTGAGAAGTGACAGTCTGACAGTGAGGTAAGAGACAGAAAAACTAAAAAGATGACACAGAACTCTGTATTATTATGTACTACAACAATAACTGTTCATAGTGATGACCTGAAGTCATCAAGAAAAAGCTAAATTGTGTTTGTCCTTGGTTTAAGAAGGCAGGCAAGTGTACAACCAATAAATTTTAGAAAGATTTCCATTTAAATTATTTAAGTTTTGGCACTTGAATGGGTAAGTTTCACTTAAATCTAGCAAACTTCATTTATGTGAAACTTCATTCTATGATGCCAGATGATGCAGATGCATGTGTTGTGATCCAGGGCTTACAAGTCAGAACATTGTTGATGTCTTTCACTTGCCCATAAGAAATTGTTCAGTGTATTGGTTTAAATTCCTATAAAAAAACAACTTTTGAGTGGAAACATGAATATTGTTTGCATCTTTCTCAATGCTTAACTATACTGTAGAATACATATTTTCTTTGCTTTTCTGCCCCTTGAGGTGCAACAGGGTTTTTGTTTTCTCGTATATAAGAAACCTGATTAGGTTTCTACTGAGGCATGTGTTTAGGGAGAGGTCTGGGAGGAGGTTGGCAAGTATGAAAATAGGATCTGGAAAGGGTGGGAGAACATGTATATAGACTGGTGATTTTGATACACTTATGTTTGGTATGTCAGATTAAATAATTAAGTTTTCTTAATGTGCATGTTGTCACAGGACTACTGTTGTGTTTTTCAGGGTTTTACATATGTGGCTCCATCTGTACTTGAAAGCGTGAAAGAAAAATTTTCATTTGAACCAAAAATCCGATCACCTCGAAGATTCATCGGCAGCCCTCGGACACCTGTCAGGTATTTGCCAGCATAGTACAGTACAGTATTCTGGCTTGTTTCTCCATAGAAGAGGTGGATGGGTTATCACATTCTCATTTTAATATTAGTTGACAATTGTAGTGCTTTAAGATTTGCAAGCTTCTCATTTTCTGCTCTTTCCTTTCACTTGGTTGATTTAGTGCAGCATTTTCGGTTCCTCATATTGCAAGTGATTGGTACATTTGCTCTTGCTGCATAAAAAGCCAGTTTTGCTATATAGTGTATCAAAAGGAATGGCCTTAGTCTTATTTTCTACATGTGGTGCTAATGCATAGAACAATAAAACGAAGGTCCTTGCGTATGATCTCATTTATTTTAATGTAAATTATTTAGGATTGCTGTTACCCTTGAGACAGTTACTGAGTCCTATTTCTACCTTGTCTTAAAGCCCAGTCAAATTTTCTCCTGGGGATTTCTGGGGAAGAGGTGCTTCAGCCAGTGCAGCAACTACTCAGACACCTGTGGATTATCCCATGGAAACGAGTGGAATAGAACAGATGGATGTGACGGTGAGTGGAGAGGCATCAGCACCACTTCCAATCCGACAGCCTAACTCTGGGCCATACAAAAAACAAGCTTTTCCTATGATTTCCAAACGGCCAGAACACTTACGTATGAATCTATGACAGCAACATTTTCAACAAATTTCAGGCAAAAAACAATGGGACGTGAACATCCTACAAGCTGAAATATATGAGGGCTCAAAGGGTGACAGCTTCAGAGGGCCAGTGTCATATTGCACAGGACAGTTTGGAAAGAGGAAAAACAAACATGGGTGTTTCTTTTTTTTTTCTTTTTTTTTTTTTAAATCAATCAATGGTGCAAAAAGACTTAAGAAAAATAGTATTGCCGAACTTTAGGCACATCAGTTAACTGATTCCCAGTGACATCTTCTCACCTTATCAAGGATTTTCATGTTGATGGCTTCAAACTGACAGTATTAAGGATAGGATGTTGCCTCAGAATCACTGTTGTCATGATTGTGTCAAGAAAGGTTTAACTGTCATTGGGCAAAGTATGAAATGCCTATACTTGCAAATGAAGACAAATTAGCATGCAAGCTTGGTCAAACTTTTTCCGGCAGCGTGGAATCAAAGATAAGAGATACAATTTAACAATTGATGTTTTACGTGCAAAAACTTAATGAATCTTTTTTTTATATAAATATATATTTTTCAAATAGATTTTTGATTCAGCTCATTATGGAAAAGCATCCCAAAATTTAAAATGCAAAATGATTGGTTGGTGTGAAGAAAGCCAGACTACTTCTGTTTCTTCTTTTGGTGAAATAATAAAATGGTAAATGAATCATTGTTAACTACAGCTTTGGCTCGTTGGAGGGATTGGGGGTGAGCTTAAGGTTTTCTTAGGGCACTACTCGTAATCCTAGGAGAAACGAATCCATGCAGTCATTTCCACTGGCGGTGTTGCTGTGTTCTAAGCTTAACTGGAAGCCATGGGATAGACATAAACTCAATGTCCTGTATCTCATCCTTATCCTGGGCCTGCATTTCACTGGAAAAAAAAATCACCACCTAGTCTTATACCAATATTTGGTTCAAAATGCTATATGTAGTCAGTCTGTGGTGCCCTAACGAGAGTCTGGATAAAAATATGGGCAGGCAGAGTCAGGGAAGATGAGACTGGGGATACTTCGGGGAACGAGTTTGCTCTCCAGGTTTTAGGTAATCTCATTACAGCTAACTGGTAAGATCTTAAAATTTTTATTTCTTTTACTGTGTACGGTGTTTACCCTCCATTTCCATTTTTCCTCAACAGTTTAAAAAGGGTGGAAAAAAGTATGCTTTTTTCCTGTGTTGGGGCTTAAGCATTTTCTGATTGTAAAAGTATTAGATGGCCTTTTGATGAATGTCTTCCACAGTAAAAAGACCTTAGTGGCTTAATTTAGGAAACATGTTACAAAGATGCTGGTTTTTTAAATTGTCATAAATTCTGTACTTATAGGTACAAAGGATAAAAATAAAGGTAACTTTACCTTACTTAAATATGTCCTGCCTTAAAGAAAGCATTTCCATGATTTTAGTTGGTTTCATGAAAGGGTTAATATCAGCAAAGCTTTATAAGAGTGTGTGCTCAGGTGCATACTGGTGGAACGGATGATCCATGCAACTGCAGTTTTGTCTTGTCAGTCTTGTCATGTCTCGTCGTTAGTCCGTGACTGTGCAAAGTCAACTTACGATATTTCACAACCATAAGAATTTTTTTAAAAAAATAGACACTGCTCATGCCAAACCTTTTTGAGCCATAGGATCCAAGCCATAAGATTCTTTATGCATATTGAATCCAGTCGGTAAAAGGCAAGATTTGCTTTTTCAGTAACTCAAAGTGAAATCCTGCCACTGTATCCAAAAGTGGATTTAGAAGTAATTTTTTTCCAATTGTGGCAGTAACTGAAATGATTGCTAGTTCCACTTTGAAGATGCTTTTTGGATCTGGAAAAAAAATGTTTTTTCTTTAAATTTTTTGTATTGCAGCAGGTATTTTTAAGAACTTCCAGTACTGCTCTTGAAGGACAGTATTAGTTCAGGACAGAAATTCAACTTCAGTGACACCACCTTTGTTCTTTGGTTAATTTGTGGCATTTGGCAAAAATGTAGAACTCAGTGCTGGTCATGTGTATTGGCAGATGGGTTTTATTTTGAACTTTTGACATTCTGTAGCTTGTACGCAAGCATATGAACATACTGTCATGTACTTGACCAAATTCCAGTAATGTTTTTCCACCAAAAGTCTCCTTCAGTCCTACTTACTACAAATATTTGCACTGTGATTGGCTAGCTATCATACATCCTATTCATAATTTATCTTTTTTAAATTAGTGCTGGTGACACTAATGGCAACCTATTTTTCCTGGTCACACAAGTAGTGTTAACTATATACCCACATATACTTGTGTGTGTGTATGTGTGTGTGTGTTTGCGCGCGCGTGCGTGTGAAGTGTGATGTGTGTTTATCTCCAGCTTAATAGCCATTAAAAGTGAACTTGACTTCTTCCATGCTGTCACATGCTAAGAAATCATACTTCATGATGGATATCCCTGACATGACTGTGAAAACATGGTGTCACAGACAGCAAACACACCTATGCAATATGGCTTATCCTATTCAATTCAACAAACATTCATTTAAAAAGCATTTGTGGAATTGAATACTATATTTATTTGTAAAAATCCAAATGTAGTTTAAAAGTCTAGTGTCACTACTAGTCTTAAATTTTCTAGGAGGAGCTTCAATCTAGTTTATGATTATTTCAGGTAAGTGCTAATATGTAGAAGAGCTTATCAGTGCTTTCTTTTGGTCACTTAAACTTTTATTTTAAAAAGGCAACTATAGAATTTGTTTTCATATAAGTTTTTTTTAATCACAGTGTAATCATTGAGCTTCATGTGCTGATTTGATTTTATAGGATTTAGAGCTTTACTAATCTCAGCAGTTTACAAACCCTACTTTAACTAAAGTATTAAATCTTTAACTTGTACCAGAATTTTTTAGAAAAAAATTACTAAGATTTTTAGAAAGTATCCATTCCCTTCCCTTTCTAACTCCTTGTAGTTAAGCTAATTTAATCCTTATAAGTTGTTGGTGTCTTTCCCCCTTATCCCCAATTCTATTTTTTTGATGTAGACATAACTGGGGTAAGGTGCATGTTTGGTATGCCACAATGTCAACTTTTATTAAATTCTAGGTCATATACGGTTATATCATGAAAGGAATTCATGTACAGAGAGATGGTGAAGCTACAAACTTCAAATTTAACACAGGACACGGTATTTAGGGGAATTTGTAGTTATGTGGTCACTAGTTAAGATTTATTTGTATAGCCCTAAGGGTTATTTATATAAGAAACACTGAGTTTATGAAGGATTGGCTCTTTGATGCCATATTTAAAATAGTGAATTTTTTACTTAAACTTAAGGAGTGGGGGGGATGTGGGAAAAAGGGTGATGGTGAAGAATAACCATTGAAGTCCAAACCTCCTTTTCCATTAGTAGTAGTCACTAGCAGTCTGGAAAATGACAAAAATATACTAAAGTATTTGGATCCATATATCTGTTGGGAAAGAATATGTAGAACTGTTCATTTGTCTTAATTCGTAACATAACAGCACAAGATTTGTCTTAAAGCGATACAGTTGTTATATCTAAGGGGGATGGTTTACCTATGTTGTGTTTGCTCTTTACAATGGTTCTTTTTTCTGCTATCCCAAGTTGGCTTTGCATCCATCTATCAGAATAAATTATTCAGCTGCCTTACTAGGAGTGGTGTGAGGGTAACACCTTTTCTGCTTTTCATCTTGTATTTAGTTTACTGTAATAAAATATACTTTATTTCAGAATGAATGGATGTAAATAGCAATTAAATGCAAATTTGAATGAACATGAACTAGAAGTCATTTTATTTATTGTTCTGAGTCTAGTTAGAAATAATTAGAATGTATTCAGGTTGGACAAATATGGATAATATATAAGCCAGTCTTATTATGCATGTATGGATTGTTCAAATTAGACAACTGGCTTTTCTGCCAAGAAAAGGCAACTACTTATTAAAATTCTGGTTCTGATTGCCACCCAATCCACATAAACAGTGCTACTTGAAAGTTAATTGTGCTCTGGCTGGTAGATTTGAATTGTTTGCTTGCTGTCACGCTAAGAAAGCTAATTCTAAGTCCAGTAGTATTCAGAAGGCTTTGGATTAGGCTTATACATCTAGAGCTAGAACCAGCCTCAGAGGAGCAGTAGTCTAATTTCCTCATTTTCATCCAACCCAGTTCTGACTGCCTAAAGTCACACAAGTAGTAAACATTAAGAGATGGGATTTAAAACCAGGTCCCCTAAGGCTAGTGCTTTTTCTACTCTTCTGTCAATCTCCCCAGTAAGAACAGCCATTGACAAGTACGAACAAACTATTGATAGAAGGTAAGCAAATCTCTAGTTAGAAGTCTCACTACATGACTAATCTCATTGTTTGTAACTCAGGATTCATTTTCACAAAGAAATGTCATACTTTGTATAGTTAGGTCAGGCACAAGGATCTACTTAACATCACATATACTAATATGCATTAAACTGTTTATATGGGGAAACATTAAGGGTTCCAACTTGGAAAGCCAAGGAATAGATTTCCACTTTTAGGCAGTGTTCCCAGCAATTAGCACACTGTCCTGTTCTTGGAACAAGGACTATAGTAGGGTAGGAAACAGACAAATGAATGAAAATCAGTTAAGGAACTACAGGGCGTTGGCCTTTACACAGGTTCTCAAGTCCTTTGGTTCCCCTTTTATCACTATTTTCTCTTTTCCTTTCTTAACCCACTTTGGAGACTAGAATGAAGCCTCAGCTTTGAAGCTTTAGAGTGTTTGTTGTTGTTGATGATGATGATGGTGGTGGTGGTGGTGGTTTTTTGTTGGGGATTTGGGGAGAAATAAGTGAAAAGAGAGGGGAGAGATTTAAACTACTTGCAGCCAAAGAGCAAAATGACTTTAAAAACAAAAGCTCTCACTCCCATTCCACTCACCCCTCCTTTTTATTTAGACCTTGTGAAAATACCCAAGAGCTAAATCATTGAGACAGTACAAAATGGCTCATGTAAAATACACTTAAAATGCCTACCATGGGCAACACCCTGGGAATAAATACAAAGATGAAATAAGTCTTTACCTTTAAGGAGTTTACAATTTAATGAGGATGGAGATACATTTATACAACTAACAGAAGACAGAACAAGGTATGTGAAAGTCCAAAGTGGTAAGAAAAGTTCTGAGGAAGACGAGATTATTTTTAGCTAGGAAGAGAAGTGTGGCACCTTGAACATCTAATCTCTAAAAAGTGACCTGGAAATCCACTGCAGAAGGACCATTCAAAGTTAAAAATAAGATGGGTAGGGAATGAGACCCTGAGGAGACAAACCATAGCTACAGAGGAAGGGAAGTTCTATGTTCATATAGGGGATGATTGTATATGAGGAGCAAACCTCTGGTAGTCTTAGTATTCAAATTTCCAAGATATGACAGGTTTACACACAAGACATCCTGCTGAGGGAGACTGCTGATTATGAAAATGGTTTTTAATACCTTGCTTTTAATAGTTCTCAGAATGATAAAACTTTTTCTGAAATAATGGAGCCCCTTTATAATGCTTGTGTTGAGAGAAAGACATAACCTGAACAAGTTAAACAAAGCCTGCTTTGTTCTTCTCTAACCTTCTCCTAAGGGAAGGCTAGCATAAGAGTGCCTTTACTTCACCAGTGTGTTTATGGCCCCATGTCCCATCCCTTCTCTTTTGACAATTGTTTTTACAAGACAGGTATAGGTATATGGATTCTAATTGTTGGGAGTTTATCTTACAGAACTGAAGTGACTTGGAGTTTAGCTGCATTATGGTTGCTGTAGTAATGTTTTCTAAACCAGGAAAAGTTAAGACAACATTAAATCATGTGCTGTTCAAGATTTTTTTTTTTTACTCTCAAACTGGCTTCAGATTCAGAATTTATTAGTCACCTGTGTAATAGCACTGAGCTACTACATTCCAAGCAGTTTAGATAAGGCACAGTCCCTGCCCTCAAAGAGCTTACAGTCTAGGAATGGGTTGAGACACAAATAACTATAACATAAAACGATATGCAAGTGAAAAGATAGCACAAAGTGTGAATTCCAGTGGGGAGAAAAATCATTGCTGAAGGAAGAGGGCAGTATTGGTGCTCAGGTAAGGCATTATTTGAGGTGTAAGTAGTAATCTTACAAGGAAGGAGGGCCTTCCAGAAAGAAATTGAGAATTAGAATAACAATGATACGTGTTCCACTATCAACCCTCCAACTGTTGATGCATAGCTCCCTGCTTATAAGCAATCCATCATATAATCCATCCCAGGGGTTCTTAACCTTTTTAGTGTCATAGGCCCTTCTGGACTCCTCATAACAATGTTTTTAAATGTATAAGATACATAGGATTACAAAGGAAACTGATTATATTGAAAGACAGTTATCAAAATATTTTTTAAAACATTCATGGACCCCAGCGTAACAGCCTGTGATTTAGGGAGCAGCTAAGTAGTACAGTAGATAGAACACCAGCCCTGAGTTCAAATCAGGCCTCAGACATTTACTGTGTGACCCTGGGCAAGTCACTTAACCCCAACTGCCTGCCCCCCCCAAGAAGAACTATGATCTAGTTCTATGATGTACCTTCATTAGCCCAATCTAATCTTAATTATCAATTTTATCTACATTCCTTTCTTCATTAGGGCCACCCACACCCATCAGTGGGGCAGACAGGGGAGTATGTAAAGGAATATTGGCTCTTAAACAGTGGCAGCTCTAAAGCTTTAGCTGGTAGGGCAGAGACATCCTCCCCAACCACCACCCAGCTTGTAGCAAACTTTTAGGGGAAACTGTTGAGACGAAGGAAGCTCCTCTGCCTGGTAAGGCATACTGCAATTGAAGAGACACCATGGGTGCAAACTCTAATTAAATAATAATTAGAACACAATTTCAGATTTTCAGGGGAAGATTTAATCCCATACCCTAACAAGCTTTTAAACTAAAGAATTTACAGAAAACTGACTTAATAAAAGCCAACATTGGAAAAATACATTAAGTACAAATATCCCTTGAAATAGTTATACAATATTATGTGCTGCTTTTATAGAAATCATAAAACAACTTATGAATCTGTAGCAGCAAAAATGGAAAATTCTTATGATTTGTATAAAACTTAAACCAAAGGGAAAATAATTTGATACAAAATTTGAACTGTCAGACAAGTCTGTTCTCTACTAGGTTCTTTAATTGAGTTTTCTTCCAAGAATAATAAAAATATAACCAACTCTAAGAATTAGCCCACTAATTCAATATAAGGTGACAATTTTTCCATTTATGTAGATCTCTCTCATTTGATAACACTTCAGTGCCATTTCCTCAGGGAAAAGAGAGAGGCCAAATATGCTTTCCTTTGATATACTAAGTTAAGTCAAAGGAAATATCGGCTTCTGTGTAAACAAAAAATAAGTAACAAAGTAATACCCTAAAGCTGTATAGTAACTTCCTAAGGTAAGAATGCCTGATTTTTCAAGGACACAGTAGCCCCACAGTGAACTACAGAGGTAGTGCTTTTAAAAAAAATTGGATAGAAAGAAGATTAAAATAAGCTATATCATTTTGTGGCTTAAAGTAAGTATGTAGTGAAGAATCCTTTCAGATTCAGGTTAAATTTACAGAGTTTGCTCTTGGTGTAAAACCCCTTCATAATCAACAAATTACTGTGTAAGATGGTCAGTAGCACTAGATAAAAGCAAAATAATAAAACACTTAAGTTGACAGCAGTGTATATATGTATGCATATATAAGATTCAGCAAAAATTTTTAAATTTCATTTATTCTTACTGATTGCTAATCAAAGCGACAGTTAACAATACAGATTAAAATATATCTTCCCTAGTCAGTTCCTTTGACTTGGAAAATCTGATTTAGACAAAATATAGTATTTAGAATTTTACATTTTAAAAAATACAAGTTTTATAAAATATAGGAATTAATCCTATTATTCTTAAACGCCAACACAGGAAAAATACATTGAAATGCCTTACAGTGGCTTAAGAATTCTAGGAATAATTCAGAATTGGATTTATAAAAATCAATGCTCTCTAAAAAGCTAGAACCGTTTTTATATATACGTACCTTAAAACCATGAAAAAATAAGATTTTGATTCCAGCAGGAAACGATGCCTGAGTTCCTCAAAACAAACTACTACTAACTGTCCAACTACATACTGAGAATGTCTAAACAATTTATCATTATACAGATCTTTAAATACACACAGATGAAAATGCTGTTTGAACAACACTGAATTAGAAGAAAAGTCAAAATAACACAGGGTTGCTTTTTACCCATTTAATTCTTAAAATTTCATGTCTGTAGACAGAATTTTCTTTAACTTGTTTCTAATAGTCTAAAATGTCTGATTTGGATGCTCAAGGTTAGTTTTGAACTAAAAACATTGAAAGTCCATTTAAAATTCAATTATAGCAGTACCCACATTACTTAGTCAAACATTAAATGAAAACCAGCATCCTATAAACACCAAATAGCAGTTGACAGGATTTAATAAATCTGAAGATGTGATGAAGTGGCTCCATCTTTCCATTTGTTTACATGGTCTGAAATAACAGTTCTGCAAAGTGGACATGTTTTCTCTCTATTAAACCATAACGTGATACACTCTTCACAAAATATATGCTGTAATGGAAGCAAGAACTGGCTTTTACACTTGGTAAACATTCTACCTAACATTTTACTATCTAAAATGCCTATTAAATTTACATTTTATAGAATTTTCAGACTGACTTAGATGATATCCTAAATTTGGATACAAATTTGAGACCCTCAGAAATTCTAACTATATAGTGGTAGATCCAGGAAATAAGTTTCCTGACTCTGAATATGTGTTCTACAGTATCAGCCACATGATAGTTTAATAATTCAAATTACAACGATCTTAATGGTGGTGATATATATGCTTTTAAAATTATACTTTAGCCCAAGTACTGGTACCTTTCAGGACTGTCAAAGGGACAATTTAAGTCAAATCAATTTCAAAATCTAAAAACAGAATTTGGATTTTCTCCCCAGAATTTTCCAAATTGCTTTCATTTACAGCTCCAAAAATTTAATGTGCCCCTTCCAATGGCTTCCTATGCTATTCCTGATATTATCTTCATAGATTAACTAAGCACTGGTGGGAGTTGTGGGTGGGGAGGGGAATAGGGAATGGGGTTGTGCAGTGGGGAGGATTTGTATGGTTTTAAGAGGACACTTATTTATAATTACCTGGCAGATGAGAAGAATAGGCTTCTGGAATTCAGCCTGACAGATAGAACAAAGATCATCAGCTTCTGAACACTGTCTTTTGGAGGCTGTCACACCATAACTCTACAAAAATAAGAAATCTTATTTTTTTTTTCTGTCATTCATATTCCTTAATTTCCAAGGTTTTTGCTCCTTCATTCCTTTCCCCCTAAAATATGCGATGTTCAAATCTTCAGCAGTCTTCCTAGAATCAGATTGGTTTTCAAACCTCCAAAGGATTTATGTAAAGGACAGAAAGTAGTGAAATCATACAGCAGCAGGGGCAGGGAATCACTACCTCAGTAAGGGAGATTTTGCAAGGAGATTTTTCACATATAAAATTCGAGTCAGGAAGACCTGAGTTTGAATTTTATTTCAGACAGGGTCAGACTAGCTCTGTGACCATGGGCAAGTCACTTAACCTCTATGTGCCTCAGTTTCCTCATCTGTAAAATAGGGATTGTTGATGATATCTACCTGACAACACTATTGTGAGGATAAACACACACAAAGTGTTTTGCAAACCTTAAAGTGCTATGTAGTACAGCTAGCTATTATAAAGTGAAAGAATGTTTAATCTTATATTAGTGGGAGCTAACTGGGAATAGGGTTGCATGAAGCTAACAGCAGAACTAGAAAGGGAAGGGAAACAAAAGCTCATAAAATTTTTAGTGCGTATTTAATAAACCCTTGGAAAACATTAACTGAGTTTTCAGGGTAAATACCTCATCTAAAGGGAGAAATTCAGCAAAACTAAACACATTAACCAAATCTGATGGGATATGCAATGCTCCACACCCATAGAGTCTTCCACCTCTGCAAAGAAGGGTGAGGCATGCAGTTTTCATCTCTTCTTTGGGCACTATTTCCTAAGATGTCAGCTTCAGTATCTCATAAGGTTCTACTGTAGCTCTTTTACCTGGGTGTATATATAAGTTTTATCCTTGAGATCCATTTTAAAAATGTATACAGCTTGGAGCACCCTTGTTAAACTTTTATTTTTGAATACAAGCCTATCTGAAATGCACATGCATTGTAACAATTAGCATCTAGTTGTCAAAAGTGTTAATCAAAACACTTCACTTGAATCTAAATCTTCTTCAGTTTGGCTTTCACTCATCTCACTGAAACTGCTCTCTCCAAAATTACCAAAGGTTTCTTATCTGCTAGATACAGGGTCTTTCAAAAGTGCAGCTTAAAACTCCACTTAAACTTTGGAACCCCTATAATAATGGCCTTTTTTTATCTTTGTTCTTCTTGATCTCTCTGCCTTCAACATTTCTACTTTTTTCCCCTAGATAAGACTCTTCTGCCTAGGTTTGGTGACACTGCTGTCTCTCCTGGTACTCCTCCCAGTATGACAACTCTTAAGCCTTCTTTGGCTGGATCTTCCTCTAAGTTATGCCCACTGGATTATCTCCCATGGCTCTGTCCTGGGCCTTCATCTCTTTCTTATAGTACCTTGCTTGGTGGTCTGTCTCATCAGCTTCCATGGGTTTAATGATCGTTTCTATGGAAATTATTCCCCAGATCTACATATCCAGTCTTAACTTCTCAGCTTCTTATCACCACTTACTATTGGACATTTCAAAGTTCTGGAGACATCTCAAACGCAGTATTTCCAAAATGGGACTACTGCTTCCAAATCCTCCCCTCTTCCAAACCTCTCTATTACCACTGAGGGCACCATCACCCTCTTAGTCACCCGGGCCCACAACCTCAGTGTCATCTTCTCCAATCTGATGCTAAGTCTTATCATTTCTGTCTTTATCACATCTCTGGTATATATATCCTTTTCTCTCCACTCACACAGCTACCTGGTGCACTTCTTGCCTGGACAATGGAAACGGCCTTCACATTAAGTCTCCTTGCCTCAAATCCTTTCCCCACTCCAATCCATCCTCCACTCAGCTGCCAAACTGATTTTCCTAAAACACTGATTTCACAATGTAACTCTTTGTTCAACAAATTCCAGTGGCTCCCTATTACCTTTGGGATCAATATAAGGTCCTTTGTTTAGCATTTAAAGCCCTTCAGGACCTGGTCCCTTCAGACCCATCTTCTTGTACTTTATTCCCTTCCATATACTCTGCAATCCAGTAGTACTGGCCTTCTTGCTGTTCTTGGCAACACAACACATCTCCCAATTCCAGGCCTTTTCACTGGCTGTATTCTTCACCTGGAATCTCCATCCTTACCTGTCTCCTGGCTTCCGGCAAGACTCAGCTTATCTTAATACACTAAGAGGCCTTTTCTGCTCCTGCCCAACCCCTGTTAACTGTATATATCTTGTACATACAGTTACTTGCATGTTGTCTCCCTCGTTAGAAAGAAAGCTCCTTGAAGACAGGAACCATATTTTTGCCTTTCTATTCCTAGTGCTTAAGTGCTTAATAAATTCTTGCTGACTGCTTAAAGAGAGAAAACCAGTGTCTATCATGGTTCCAGTGGCAAACAAAAAAGGGGGAAATGCAAGCAGTGTGAAATAGGAAACCATTCAACAACTTAACATAAGAAATTATTCCTCAGCACTTCTTGGAATAAGCTTACCAAGATAGCATTTTCTAAGACAAAATGCAAGTAGTATTTTTCTGTAGCTAGAAAATGGATTACTTACTGGGCGTGTTAAAAATATCCGTACAGCCTGCCTGAAAGTTCTCAGATGCCCAAAAAAGTCTAGAAGCTGAAATAGAGAATAAGTATGTTTAGTGCAAAGAGCTTTTTCCAAGCTTTAATGCAAGTCGCAGTGATATGATGACCTCACCCCCAAAATCATCTAGTTCAAAATCTAACTGTTGAATTTGCTGAAAATATACCAGATTCCTTTAATTCCATATTAAGGTTGTCCCTCAAATTTGACTTCAATTTCATTCATTGAATATTTACTAAATTTGGAGTTAAAACAACTCTTTGCTGGTAAGATCCAACTTAAGGTCAACTGAAATCTGAAATGACAAATCAAATATATATACAAATTTCCCACCTGCAGCTTCTTACTTCACTTTATACTCTATTCATCATACTTCTGCAATCTTGTAGTAGGTAAAAATTAACATGATGATGTCAAAAACCAAAAACAGAAAAATGCAGTTTGGCTTTGTGCATGTCTTGATATATTTATTATTATTTCACCATAGTGGTAGGACAGATTAAAGTATGGACCCCTCAAGTAAACACTAAATAGTAATATTAACAGGTGTAATTTCTAACTTTTTACACTAATTCAATTGTTAAAACCAACTGCCTTATATTTATATCCCCTTTTTACAGATGAGAAAACAGGTTCAGTAAGGTTAAGTGCCTGTGGTTATTTAGACAGTAACAGGGTCTAAACTCCAAAAATATTTCTGTAAGATTTTGGTAAACTTATCAAAAGCAAGTTAAATATTACATACTTTTAGAATGAGGTAGAGCAGACCCAGCAGAATCCCAAGACTCCATCCTGTTACACTGCCTCCCAACTCCCCATAGCTAACAAGGTAACGAAACCAAACTGGAATAGGAACAAAAGTTCGATAATACTGGCATGATTCTTCTATGAGCATATACCAATAGCCCTAAAGAAGAAAGGGGAAACACACATAAATCTACAATGAGCTTTAAGCACATAGCTTTATATATAGCTCTATACATCATAAGGTCCTAATTCCCCCCATTTCTCAGATCACTAAATGAGGAGACCCAGAGAGATGAAGAGGTTTGCCCACGGTCACATGGGCAGTTAAGGAACAGAACTGGGACTTGAACCATGGATCCAGATCCCCTTCAGTATTCTTCCTGCTGCCTCCTGTAAATAGTACTGAAGTCTACAGAGTGATAGTTTACCTAGGAAATTAACAGATACTGATTCCTATACTTCGCTTACAATCACAACCTGATTCCCATGTTATGTAAGGAATTTATTTATTTCAAAACACTACCCAAAAAATAAGATATGGGGTATAGAAATCTATCTTGCCCTACAGGAAAATTGAAGGGGAAGGGGATAAGAGAAGGGGGGGTAGAGATAGAAGGGAGGGCAGATTAGGGGAAGGGGTATTCAGAATGCATGCCATCTTGGGGTGGGGGGAGAGACAAGATGGGGAGAAAATTTAGAACTCAAAATCTTGTGGAAGTGAATGTTGAAAACTAAAAATAAATAAATTATTCAAAACAGTACCCAGAGTAATTTTAGGGAAGTGGTATTATATATAGTAAAAAATATGTTAACCAGTCTTCAATGAAGACTAAACAGCTCTACAATATTGTTTTAATATGGCTTAAAATATAACAATTTTAAATATAATGTAATCAAGACAATTATTAGACAGGAAGACAAATTAATCATCACTGTCAAATCCTAAATCTCATCATCACAAGATTTCACAGGATCATATTATCTACGGCTAGAATAGATCACACTTTCAAACCTCTCCACTCCCACTCTGACCTTTCAAATGAGAAATCGGGCCCAGAAGCTGTCTGCTTTACACATGGTTCCAGAACCAGGATGGGAACCCAGGAACCCAGCAATTCAGCTTTCTCTATTCTGCTACTTAGAACAGCCAGAAACCCTTGTATGATTGTGTAGATCATCTAACTCTACGTTAAATTTTGGCATGAATATCTCTCTTCAACAAGTATCTAAAACTGGAATTACCAATAAATTGATCAGATAGGAAAGAAATGAAGAACCTCAGAAAAGTTTCAATTACTTCTTTTTCTGACTTAAGATTTTACTGAAGAATCATACTCAAACATCAAATGACAACTCTATAGAGGGAAGACACTTAAACTCCCCTAAAGTTCAACCTGAATTTGAATTTAGTCCTACTTTTCTTTGTAGTAGATGTATTATTCCTCTATGACTGACTCCCTTGGTTATTCAGTTTGCATTTTCCAAACAAATCCCAGCTAATAGTAAAAAGTGGCCAGTCGGAGATGAAAACTGCTGCAAGATAATCTACAAAATTGAGACTTCACATATAGAAGAAGGTGAATGCATTAGGTTTTTCATATCTGATCCTTTTAATTAAAGAAATTATTGCAGGAAGGAGGCCTTTAAATCCAATCCTTTCAACATCCTTTCAACAACATTAAATGAAATACAACAGTAATTATTACATATCATTAAAACAACAGCACAAAGTACTTTAAGAACAGTGAACCAAAACCAAAATAATGGTCATTGGTACTGTTATAACAGAAAGGAAATTAAATGCCACTTTATCATGTAAACCAAAACAAAATAAAATCCTGTTGCTAGAAAGATACATACACAGAGGTGAAATATGTAACAAATACATTTAAATAATCTGATCCACAGCCACATCAATCTCCTTATAACTTAAAGTATTTAGTATTCTACATCTATAAAGTTTCAGAATCCTGTAAAAATTAAAGTCATCTTAGATCCAGTTCTTTAACTTCACTAGAAATTTAAGGCAAACTTGGAACTTTTTGCTTAGTGTTTTAAACAATGAATGGAGCTTACAAATGTTAACCTGACAAAAGTTACAATAAATTACCTACAGTTAAATGTTACATGTAATAAAAAAGACATGTTTAACATGATTTTTCTCTCTCTAGAGATGTAAACTGGATTTTAATTTGTTTCTAAAATCATACCAGTCAGGAAATTTGTAAACCTATTGAATCTCTCACTTAATATAAAGATACTGTATCTTAATAATGAATCAATGTTTTAAATGAAAATCCAATGCATCACTTTCAACATTTTCCCCATATGAACAGAAGTTACTTTCTTACCTTGGATTTAAAAGACATCACAAAAGAAGGCACCAACAAAATAAGGCATTTGAAGCCCATGAAGAGGAATTTAAGGATGAAGTCTGTGATTCCCACAATCCAGAGTACCTCCCAGAAGCTCGAAAAATCCAAAGTAGGATTTAAAAAGATTAAGCTACCAAGAGAAATACATTAAGTTATTATTGAAGGTAAAATGTTACTATATTAAATAAATTTGCTAAAAATATTTTGTTTATATAGAATAAAAATAATCTAAAAATAAAAAAAAATCTCAAATTTTGATTCAGATGGATCGTAATTAAAAATTTAGATTTCTTAACAGGAATTTTAAAAATGAATGTCTGGCTTCACTTTTTGACATAATCTAGTTCAATATACCACCTCACAAGCCAACCTGCTGAACTATCTTATACTACTTCAAAATGCAACCTGGATTCCATCTTATTTAAGCCTAGGATATGACTAAAAACAATTCTGTCTTCTACCTCCATTCTATGTTGTAACATCTCACAAACCACCCTCTTGGTATGAAGTCTCTAAGTGCTCTAAATCCCATATGACACCTGGAAGGCAGCCTATAAGTCTCTGTTGACACCTAAAAGACTAAAGTTTCCAGTAGATACTGACATGCATAAAAATGGTACATGTGCTCCAATTACCTGTAATAAAGTGATTGAGACTGAAAGGTGTAATATAAGAGAACGGAAGATCCTGCTAAGAATACCAGTAAACAAGCGCACTGTACCTTTGAGCACCTTTCCTGTAAAATAAAACAATTTTATAATTTACAACTGAATTTTTCCAAAATTTAAATGCATAAGAATAGTATTAAATGTAATGGTCAATTCCAGATGTTTGAAGTTATTTTTATGGAGTGACTTGCTTTAAGTATAGAGAACATCTGGTTCCATTTGTATCACTCTAGTCACTATTATTTGTAATTTTGGTTTTTAGTGAAGCAACAAAATTGATTTTAAGACGAATTTTGCAAATACAGGTTTTCCTCAAGATAAAAAAGGAAAAAACATGACTTAAAGCCTATTTTCAAGTAGGTCAGACCACATGTAAACTGGTATCAAGCACTTCTGGCCAAGTACAAAAAACAAACAAGTTGTACTTGGGCTAGGTTTTCAAAAAGGAACCTGATTTTTAAACTATTTATTTGAATTTTAAAAATGTTAATATTTTAATTGAGCAGTAAAGTCAATAAAGTGGTTTTCTAATGGTCATTTAAAAAATTCAATGTTAACTCAAAAATATTTACAAACTGAATGAACTGGCTCATCTTAAATTCTGAAAAAATTAGCTTTATTGGGTTAGTCTTATATGGGCTATTTTTTTTTTTTTGCACCTGCAATTCTCTTTGCCAAACTGTAAAACGGCTGATTTCTGTCTGTGAGCCATAAATGAAATGCATATTTGTAAAGTTGCCTTAAAATGAAACTCAGTAAACTAATTCTATTCTCCCATAGATTAATATGGGGACATACTTTCTAAGCAATTATCTACTTCACCAATTATCTTATGATACACTTATTAGATTGGCTTAAATTGGAAAGAACAATTCAACACATTATTCCAAAACCCAATTCCACCCTAAAACAACAAGTAGTATATCTGGCAAAGTGTTTATGGGTAATTCTTATTATAAATATGGTCAAAGTGGCTCACAGAACAGGTGCAGTTACCTAGTTAACCCATTCTAGGATGTTAGAAGGTTTTTTCTAAAATCTAAAGAACTTCATTCAATGAGCATGCCTCCACTATCAGGATTCCAGTCACATACTCTCTTCTCAGATCAGATGAGGAATTGCAACATAAGAATAGGCAAATTATCCATGTAATGTGGTTGAGAACGAAACCTTATGTCACAGTGCATACATTTATGTCTGCCAAATTAACATGATCTAGTCTTCCCATTTCTCTCGAAAGTTAGCATGAAAATCTAGAGAAATTTGGTGTTTCAAAAAATGTTTAATTGCTGAATATTGTACTTACTCTTAGAAAAACCTGATTTACAATGCTTTTGTTTGCATACATAAAAGTTGTTAGCAGCCCAATTCCAAGAGAAATGCCTGTTAGAAAATAAGTGCCAGTTATTTGGAAGAAAAAAAAATCAAACAGGAGTTTCAAGATAGTAAAATGAAATGTTCAACCTCCAAAAGTATTCAAGCTAGCAATGGACTATGGAAAGCTAAGACAAATTAAAACAAAATATACAACATTGTAAAAGCTAACAAAAAAACTGAAATGAATGTTAAATTATCCAGTAAATAAATATAATAAATGAAATTAATTCAGCAACAAAAGTTATTTAATAATCAGTTATACCTGTTATATGCTGCATTACAAGTTTGACACACAAAATCAAAATATATGGAAGACTTTTCTGCAACCAATGGAAGAGATAGCGAAACTCAGAGATAGAGCTGCTGCCGTTTTCTCCTGGCTCCATGGTAGCATCATCAGGTTGCCTTGCTTCATTGTGTGAATGACTTCTTAATCGACTGTGTATGCAGCCCTGAGTATTGCTTTGGGAACCAGACCTTAAGTTTCTAGGGCTTGGACTTTCACCACACTCTCCAGGTACAGAGCTTATCTGGATGTGAATGTCTCCAGGATGATGGCAAGAACCTTCACCAGTCATTCTTACAGTATGGGCACAATGAGAAGCTGGGGCAGTCTCACTGCCTCCTGTTCCTGGAAGATTGTGAAGGTGACTACAGCTGGCTTGCATGGCCTTGGACTGCTTTTCCTTTGATCCAGATGTGTTTGTTTGAGGGTTATGTCTCCTAAGTAAATAGCAAAAAAAGACTTTTTTAAAATACATTTGGTAAGACAACTGTTAAACAGAGAAAATAACATGCTGTCCATTAGCGATTTTTATTTGCCAGAACCAACTACCACAGCAGATATACCCGTCTCAGTACATCACTTGTTACTAGATCCTATTCCTTCATTAGTAACAAAGATCTACTACCACAACATTCTCTTATGTGAACTTCCTACAGCAAAAATTCTTATGCAAACATGAAGTTTAGAATACTTCTAATGGAGGGCAGTTAGGTGGAGCAGTGGATAAAGCACTGGAATCAGGAAGACCTGGATTCAACTCTAGCCTTATACTTACTACCTGTGTGACTTTGTGCAAGTCAGTTAACCTTGTTTGCCTCAGTTCCTCATCTGTGAAATGAGTTGCAGAGGGAAAGGGCAAACCACTTGAGTATCTTTGCCAAGAAAATCCCAAATGGGGATGATTGTACAACAACAAATGAGTCCTACTAGGAGGAGGAGGAGGCGGTAGGTTAATCTCTTAAGATGAATGGCTAACACATTCACAGAAAAGAGAGTTGAATTCTAGCAACAACTCTGATTCTTACTATATTAGTTTTCAATAGTTTGCTAATGTGTAATTTTGGAACGGTATCATCTAGATTATCCATACACTAGACCATTAGGAGGGCAAATGATAAATAAAGGACCTGCAAAAACACCCGAGTTTCTAGGAAAAATATAGGAAATAATGCTTTTAATTAGCATCATAGTGGTAAATAAATATAACTCATAAAAAGGTGGACTTGTTGCTCAGTTTAGTTATAGTTCTACTCCATGCAGCCTTCTGGAAGACTGGAGCCAAATAATGACTCATGATTACCCATAATTAATGCCGCAGTGAGCAGCAAAGCACATTTCTTTTTTAAGAGAACGCAGCTAAATGACTACTAACAGCTCATAAAAAAGCCACTTGTTGACAGCCACAGGATTACCTCTGCCAGGTCAACCTTCAGTATGAAGAGGGTAAAATGACAAACTGTAGCCTTAAAAAAAATGCCGTGGGCACAAGAGTGGATCCATCAGAAAAAGGGAAGAAGCCCCGGAGGTGGGGGTAGGGGTGGAGGTGGAGGGGCACCAAATCTTCCCCTGAGGTTCATAAAAAGCCACCTGGGACCCAAAGGCCTCGACTGGACAGCTCTACCTCCTCCATGGCAAGGAAGGTGGGGGTGGTGGAATGAAATCTCCCTGGCTCCAGCCCCTAAACAGACCCCACCCCAAGTGAAAGGGCAGTCCAGGGGTCCCCTACAGGAGTTGCCAGCTTCAGTCAGTCAACGATGATTCATTAAACTCCTACTTTGTACCAAAAACTGTGCTAAATGCTAAGAATAAAAACAAATACTAAATACAAAGAAGGGCAAAAACAGCGAGCTCACTGTCCGTCAATAAGCATTTATTAAACTACTATGGGCTAGGCACGTGCTAAAAGCTTAGAATACAAAAAGAAAAGCAAAAAACAGCCCTCGTCCTTGAGGAGTTCACAATCTAAAAGGGGAGACAACATGCAAACAACTATGTACGAACAGGCTTATTACATGACAGACTGGAAATGATCAACAGAAGAACGGCACCAGAATCAAGGAAATGCCCGGGAAAGGTGGGATTTAGCTGAGACTTGAAGTCAGGCAAGCCAAGAGACAGAAACTGGGTGAACGAACATTCCAGGGCACGGAAGACAGCCAATGCAAAGGCACGGAGTCGGGAGATGAAGAGTGGCGCTCGGAGCCTTGAGGTCAGTATCAGAATGGAGGTGGGGGCGGGGGAAGGAGGCGTAAGGAGCGAAGCCTGGAAAGGTGGGGGGGGCGGGCAGGTTGTGAAGGGCTCCGAAAGCCAAGCTGAGGATTTTATATCTGATTCTGGACGTTAACAGGAAGCCGCCGGAATCTACTGCGGAGGGGAGGGTGACGGGGGAAGCCCTCCCCCGTGAGATCCAGCCCGAGGGAAGCCCCGGGTACCCCAGCCCCCGGCTCCGCCCGCCTGCCCGGAACTCACCTCTCATGATGAGTCTGACGAGGCCTCGGCGTCGGCGTCGGCGGCGGCGGCGGCGGCAGCGGGAGGAGAGGGAGGAGGTGCTACCGCGGCGCGGCCGTCACGCCCGGCCGTCATCACCACCGCCCTCCCGTAGCCAACAACTGACACTGGCTGCGCCAGACCTGAGGAGGCGGTGGCGGCGGCGCGCGCGCGCTCCCGGAACGTGAGGGCCGCGCGCGCGTCTACGATAGTCACGCAGCGAGACGTCCCAAGAAGGGGAGGGGGAGAGAGGGAGTCAAGGTGGCGGGGCGGGGACGAGTGCCTTACTTCCTAAACTGCCCCTCCCCCTCCCAAGCTATTTAAATCAATCAAACAATAAATAACCGCCCCCTCGCGGTAAAAACAGATGCTCTGAGATGCGAGTACCAAAGTGGGTCAGGAGGAGCGAGGGCGGCCGCCTCGCTGACTCGGATGCTGCGGCAGAGGGAGGGGCTTGTTGCTATGAGCGACGCTGCTCCGCGGCTTCCGCGCTCTGGGCGGCGGGTCTATGGCGGCGATGCGGAGAAGGTGAGGCCCTAACCCCGGTAGGCCCTTGACGAGTCTCCTGGATCCGCCGCTCTCGCTCGGACCGGAGCCCTGGGGGACAGCTCGCAACTTCTTCGGCTCCGAAGCTTCCGGACTGAGGCGGGCTAGGGAGTGCGAGGCCTAGCCGACCCCGGGTTCGGCTGAGGCAGAGCAGCCTTCGGGCGGCCCCGGCTCTTGCTCTGGCCGCGGTCCCCGGGGGCTCCACGAAGCTCGTGCACCCAGGATCGCAAACGAGAGGATTAGATAGAGTTAGGGACTGGACCTGAGGTTTGACTCCCATGGGAGGCAATTCTTTTCACCAAGGCGGGTTGGCACCTCTTCTGCAACGAGTTAGTCGGAGCACTGAGGGATTTAGTGATTTTTCCAGGCGCACACAGCCAGTTATGTGTCTTCCTGGCTCTGAGGCCAACCCTCCCCCATCCCACGTTAGAAATATAAATGAATCTAACAAATGGCTCCTCCCCAGTTTTTTTGAGTAAACAAATTTTTTTTTTCTTCACGTAATGCAAAATGTGTTTTCCATTATGCCCAGAAAGAGGGTTTCCGTCTCTAACCCGCAAGCATCTCTCGCAGCTTTTTAGTCTCAAGAATGTTTTTCATTGATGAGAAGTTGTAGTTAAGAAAATAAAATCATAATTCATCCTATACCAGGAAATAGCCACCAGTTGTTGGAATTGTGTTAAATATTTTTGTGGACTGATTTAAAAAAAAAAACAGCTCGAAAACTTGTATGGGTCAGGTGGTTAATTTGCTGTCATCGTATTAAAGAAAGGGAAAAATGTACAGCTTTATGTTTTGTGAGTCTTACGTCTAGAAGTAAGTTCTGGATTTATAGTTGAGAGGTAAAAATTGCTTGCATTTCCTGATGCAAAGGGAGTTATGGGGAGTAGTGCTGGAAAAGTACGTTGGGTATATTTGATCGTCTAAGTGGTGGGAAGCCAAGAGTAGAGGAACGAGTTGGTCAGACCTGTGCTTTAGGAAAAAACCTACCTGCATGAGTTCCTGGAAAAGAAATCCTAAACAAACAGCTTCCACCATGCAGTCCTGGAGAGGAACTAATACTTGGCCATCCCTAATGATAACCAAGCTCCCAGTCCCTTTTTCCACTTCAGAATTGACATTCTGTCCTTACCTCTTCACCTTGAGTTCTTGGTCAAGGCTTTGAAGTGCCGTTAGTCATTAACTACATTTGTAAAACTGAGTCAGCTAAATGTTGTGTACTTGTCTAGCCCAAAAGCTGACTCTGTCCACTTCCCTTGGTTTAGATGCATAGCTTAACTCTGTTTTCCCCCAAAGTATTTTTAGAATACTCCACCTACACATACATTACACCCACCTTACACATACATTACACCCACCTACAATAATAACCACATGCTATTTCTTCCAGTGGTAAGGCTAGGGCCACTTCATCATACCTTAATGTACTAAAGATAAAAATGGTAGCTACGTGTGATGGATGGCAAAAAGGGATCTAGTTTTTCCACTTGTATATTGATAACCTAATGACTTGTCTTGGTTCATTTGCTTTTTTAAAAAAGATTTGTGATAGGGAAAGTGATGAAACTCACTTTCAAGTCCCAAAAAGAATTTATTAATGAATGCTTCCTATGTAGACATTTATGTATATGTGTCTTTATATATACATAGACGTATGTGTTTATAGGTATATATATGTATATTAGAAGTGTATAGTATAGGACCAGGCCTGTGGTTTCATTGTTACAGGGAAAATTGCCCAGGGTCGAATAGCCTAATCTATCCATTATATCATGCTTCTGCTGCCACTGCTCTTCTATGTGTATGTGTGTAAAACTTAGAAGGTGGCTCCCCACATGTGTGACAAGATATTAGGAGACACTCTGTTTTCCAGAGCTAAGGCCCAGCAAGCGAGCTTGTGTCCTTAGCTTGGCATAACAATAATCCTTTGTGCTCAGCCACAGCGAAATCCCAGAATTATTTCATGTAATTATTGTATTGCTTTGACCAGCAACAGGTGTTCTCTGAGCTCAGACAAGCTTGGACAAGTACCCATATTTTGGTCATAAAACCCTGCTATGAAGCAAACTTATCTCTTATCCCTCATGTTGGGTATAACTCACTGAGTAGCTATTGGCATAAGTATTGAGATCTCCCCCACTGCCTTGGGTCCCCCCCAGTAGGGGCAGGTCCTCAGCAGGTGTCTAATTCCATTCCTTGCTTGCAAGCCATTTCCTTCACTTTGAAATTAAACTTCTATTTGATTCCTGACTCTCCTGTCTCTAGCTTGCTTTGTTCATCTCCAGCCATCCACAGATTAGAGGCTAGTTCAATCCAGTTGACATATGGTAGTTTTCTCCCATGTGTTAGAAGAATTTACTGTGGTACAGTACCATAGATGAGGAACCATACTACGGGGAAGGGGTGGACAAGAAGCCAGGAGTGGTTGGGCCTCTTTAAAGTTCACAACTTCCAGATTTCAACAATAGTCTAGGGGAAATTTATGGTTTGGATTACAAATCACTTTACCTGATCTTTATTTCCCAGTTACCCACCCACCCCATTTATAACCTTGGACCAGTTTGGAAAGCAATTGTAGCCAGTTCCTTGGGGTTGCTAAGTTCCCAGGGGTGTCTTTGTCCAAGGCTGGCTTCTACACTAAGCATTGGATGCATATATTGCTTTTATTCCTAACCAGCATTCTCTGCCTCCCCAACTGCATCCTTCCCCAAATAATCACATAACCAAGGTTAGCTCATTAAATTAATTTTATGTATCATAAGGAAACAGTAAGAACAGAAAGGGAAGAATGAACAGAATATTTAATTGATCGGCACAGACAGTGGAAATACAATAGCCAGTGATTGACTTTAGAGAGCAGGAATAAGCTTCCTGATTAGATACTGGAAGTGAATGTAGTTAATCAGAACCTTCCCTTTTTGCTTAGAGCCACAGAAGGGAAAGGGGAACCCAGTGATGGGGTGGGGCCTGCCTCACATAAATTGGATCAGTCCACAATAGGAGCCACAGATCCCATGAAATCATTTCTGCAATCTACCCTTCTCACAGTGGGGCAAGGAGGTATCCCCTACCATTCTCTCATCTTCTACTTCTACTTTTTTTAATTAATTTATTTTAAATTATCAGCAATCACTTCCATAAGCTTTTGAATTTTAAATTTTTCTCCCCCTTCTTCCCCACCTCCCTCCCCAAGATGACATTCAATTTCTACTTATATTTTTGAGGACTGTCTAAGAACCAATCCCAGTCGAATGCACACAGCCTCCTGGAGACTTTCTCCAAAATATCAGGTTTTCTATGCATTGTGGAAATGGTATATCTTGCAAGGCCAGATTACTTATATTATTTGTGTTGATGTCTAACCATCTCCACATGAGTAGTACCAATATAGAAATAATAGCCGTCATAAGACAAAAAGAACAACACCCACTTCATTGGAAAACCAAGATTATTCATTCAATGTTGAAAAACTCAGGTGTCACTGATTGTCTGATGTGCTCTGCCCATCTGGGTTAGTGTTGCCTTGATTATTCCTCTGAAGTGGAATGCTCAAAATAAGGGAAACATACCACTTACATTTGTAGAAACGCATTTACACATAAACCAGCCTGTTTTCAGAGCCAGGTTCAAATTGGAATAAATAAGAAAGTTATGCCAATCTATAGGAAGGAAAGACATCTGGTTATTTTTGCTTCAAGAATTAGATTTTATATTTAATAGTGATAGGAAATAGAACTGAGATTTAATTTGTATACAGAACTCCCAGATGAGTGAATTCCCTCTACCAGTGTAGGTTGGTACCTTCTCTATAATCTACAGTCTTAGATAGTTGCCTGGAGCACTCAGAGGTTAAGTGGCTTCTCCAGGATCACACAGTAAATAGTCTAAGTCAAAGACTGAAATTGAGCTCAGCTTTTTATCACTCCAAGGCTAGTTCTCCATTATGTCATACTGCCTCTCCCTCATAAAATCTATATTCAACGAAAAAGGCACAACAAATTGTCATTTGTTTGGTTCTATCAAAAGATGAATTTCACTAACAGTGAAGTCATAATTAACAGTAATCCAACTTAATATTAAAAAATTTTTGAAGTACTTTACTACTGGCTAATAACTTTTGAGTGAATTTCAATCAGCATTACAGTTTTAAATTATGCATGAAATATATATATATAGTTATTAAAAAGAAAACTGATATAAGTAAATCGTAGGCACTAAATACATGTTTTTTAGACACTTCATTGTATATATTGTATTGTATGTAATTGTAATGTATTTATGTAATTCTATGGTAAATTACTCAAAATTCAAACAATTTGACACCTCAAACAATTGGAAGCTTGCCTCCCGTGTTTTGCCATCTATGGCTATGTAAAATAATAAAAGAAAAAATTGCCATTCAGGGGCTGTTAAACAATATGACAGCCTTATACCTCTTTCTAACAGACTCAGTCTGAACTCCTAAACCTTGTTTTGGCAGGAAATTGTGATTTTATCCCTGCAGG